GCAGACATCACACGTCCCTTCTGGCATGTTCACATAAGCTGCCACAGCATGGTTGAGGTATCGAGATTGTCTACAGTAGTCTCGCCCGCTCCACACTTAATTTGACGCAGCTTCGCTTCTTGCAGGTCAATCTCAACGCACTTGATGCCACAGATATTCATGGCATCGCAGTAGTAGTCCTGATTTCCCAAGACGCTCAAGCTTTCCATCATTATATTGCCAAAATCGCACAGCCGCGCGCCTAAGCGAACATCCTCAAGCAAAGCTTGAACAGAGCCCAAGAACATGCGATGTTCGGTTTGCATGATGACTTGCACGTACACCCAATCAACATGGCTTGTTGGACTCCTCGCAGTGAGACATCCAAGGGCTGTGCGTCAAGGCGATCAAGTAAAAAGCAGCATTGCCTCTGTGAAGCGGCGCTGGGCAGTTCCACGAAACGCTTCTCACCCTGTACTGAGTACTGAGTACTTTCAGCCCAGCAAATCGATTTACAATAGCCAAGCAAAAACTCTACTCCGACTCGTATGTAGAAATTACAAAGGTGCTGGAAACGTGTCGTAGAGAGTTGCGTCCAAGAAGCAGCCACAGCCTGCACCATTCACATTCGTTGTGTATTCCAGTCGCTTTCCCAAAAGATGCAGGTTGACGTAGTCGGATTGCTTGAACTGGCCTGGGCCTGAACGAGAGAGCAAGTTCTTATCAGCGACAACGTCATGCATCTTTCCTCACACACTTGCGCAATGCCCACAACTTGCCTTTCTTGTTGCAGTGCCAACCCCAATAGGTGCGGCCCCGGTCTGCAACCACAACATCCTTGTCCTGCAATGGATATGCTTAGCAAGCAGACTTGCTTCCGGCGGTGTTTGCTAGCGCCCAGCAGCAACTTATACAACGATTTCGCTCATCCATAGTGCTGGTGAGATGTCTCCACCTGAGAGGTTGCTGTAGGCACCAGTCCTTCATCCAAACATTTCCTGCGGGCTGACCTCCAGAAGCAGAGACATGAACAGCACACAGCAGAATGAAACAGCCACTGCCAAAATGCTCTGTTTACTAGTTCGTGTTCTGTTCTCTTCCACTCTCTATTTGTCGAGTCCCAGGACCTTTCTTCATCCTATTTCGCCGCATAGGCCAGCTTGCTTAGGCAAGCACCCGGAATATTCCACTTCGCGTTGATGAAGTGGACAGGGCCCAAGCCTTTGACCTGCGCAACGTTTTCTGCCACTTGCGTTTATGCTGTCACTTTTCTAAATTGTCCTCACGGTGTTACGTTGAGCCTGTTTGAGCCTTGCTCAGATGCCGTCCTGTCAGTACGTTTACAAAGGCTGCGAAGCTGCTGGCCTGCGTCATTCCCGCACAAGGATTGGACCAAACGGGCTGTGGCCACCTTAACAGAGATGTCGGTGTCAAGACAAGATACAGCTGCCAGTTCTGCTACTTTATGCTACTTTCGAAATCAGTAGTTGCCATGCGAGTGGTTCCATGGACTCTGTAAATCAGACGCGCGGTTGCAAGCAAGGCTATGCTTGTGGCAAGCTTAAGCTTAGGTTGAATCCGGAACATTCATGCCTACCATGGCGAGGACCCAACGCTTCCTGCAGCCTGCACGATCCTTCATCAAGAAGAAACAGTGCAAGCAAAATCCAGTAAAAAGTCAGTGTCAGAAGACAGAACAGCAATGAGGGCTTCCCTGCTGACGTGGCGCAGCTCGGTGGCCTCTGTACCTTGCCACTCGCTGGCACGAAAGGCACCAGGTGCATAAAGCACCAGGACGCAGACGGCAAAGCCCGCAAAAATCAGGGATAACCAGTGGAGCACCTGAAGGCACAGGGCGAACTACATCGAACTACATACTGGCTGTGGAGAGTATGCTGCTCCCTTGACCTTGCAATGGGCGTGTATGCGGGTTGGCTCGAGCCTTTGATGACTCCTGGCAATCTCTGCAGGAGTTTGGCTGCGCAGCCTGCATGAGCATCCCATGTCAAAGCGGCAGGAGGCTCAGGGACACGTGACATTTCTCTGGCTACCAGGCACTCCCGTTGCAGAAGGGCTGGAAGGTAACACCAATTTATTCCAAGGGGCCCCTATGGCGAGTGGAGTAAGCTCCTCCTCATCGAGACGGCTGAATTGCTGGAACTCCTGCGGCGCAAAAGCCCTAGGCGAAGCCTGCTCGAAGGCTTTCTACAATCAAAAATTGTCAACAACACTGCGCGTCTTTCAACCAGAAAACACGCCTGCCTCCTCCCGTTCTACCCAGCAAATGAAATCAATGATTTTGAGCCCTGACATCTCTACTCTGGATGTGGCTGCCGGTCAACAGTTAAAGCCGGTCCTGGGCGAGTATTTCAGGCAGGTTGTCGACATCAGCCCCTCTACAAGGCCATGGTTTTGGGCCAAAATCCCGCAGATGCCTGCTGAGATCCGTGCAAATTCATCTGGTCCCGATGATGTGCTTAGAAGAAAACAAGACTTAATCACTGAGCCGCTTGGTCTAAAAACTCTCACGGATAGGTGGAGAAGCGTGATGGAAGTTGCAGCACATCTAGCGCTGCATCGATTTAGGCAAACCCTTCATGTCCCTGTTGAGATTTCCTCCATCTCTGTTTTGAGCTGCTTGGCTTTTTCAGAACGGCTGTGCTTTGACTGAACTTTATCGAGGTTTTCCTGACACCAGGCTCTATGGACCCATCGGATCACGTAACCATTTAAATGCAACAATTTCCCTGCTGCAGCACCTTTGAGAATGTATCAATGTGTTGGGTCCTTTTTGAGGGATCACGATAGCCAAGACTTTCTCTTTGTTTGATGGCTTGCTGTAGAATCTCAGAACCTGGATCGTGAGAAATAACCATCTGACATTGGGTCCAGTTCTGACACCAAGCCTTCTAGCAAGCGCATGGTGCGTGGACAGCTTTCACGTATCAAAACTGGGGAGCGCTACATATGCGCAATTCAATTGGGATTCTCATCATAAAGCCCTTTAAGATGGACCCGCAGCTTTGCGAAACTTATCATATGCCAATGGCAGTTGTCTGAGCCATCCGGCCACCATTGCATGACCTGGATCTCCAATGGCCTGAGACTTCCTGCCATGTAAGCTTTCTGATTACGGGTTGATGTGGGTCGTCCTTTGCTGATTCTTGAGGGATGATTTGGCTACTTGTTCAAGAGAGTTGGGAGAGTTGACACTGGGACTCCCATTCAGGTGCAGACTGATGCAGGGCAAGCTCAGAGACATCGGACCGACTAGTTAGTGTGTGAACGAGCAGAACTTCTAAGGTTGCCAATCATGCAAGAGAGCAATCAAGTTCAAGATCTATCTGACAAAATTCTCAACCTTGCATCATCTGCCCAGCCCATGATCTGTAAGCGAGCCAAGCTGACACGTTGAACACTTGCGTGGCCTGTGTCAACCTCCGCGCCAGGTGGGAGAGGAATCAAGCTGGACTGGTTTTGCGCCGCCGTGCAGCCTAGAGTATCTTGAGACACTACGTTATCAGCAAGCCCTTACTTTACTTGCAGTGGTCAAGCGGAAATCGAACAGCATGCAGCACCAAACACAACACAAGACTGCATCAAACCTCTCTGCAACGGATGGGGATTTCTAACATTAGGGGTACAATGTTGGGGACCCTGTGAAAAGCATTAATGTATGTTGGGTCTACATTGGGGTCGGGCCCCAATTGCCAGCAGGCCCGTGAAAAGTCACCATACACTGGCAAAGCACATGGCATGGAACTGAATCTGAGCGCCAACTCGTTCTGAGAGCCGCAAACCGAGACTTCCGTCATTGGCCTGCAGTGGACATGTGCTGCACCAGGGTAGTTCTTACACTAATCCAGAATGTACTTGATGATGGCCTGGTCAGTGGCACTCGTGTCCACAGGCCCAAGAAAAATCCAAGACGCTGACAGCTGCGGGCGCAATGTTCTCACTGCTTATTCTAGGTACGAAGTTCGGCACAATAAGCTACATCTTATGCCCTGCAGACACAGGCGTGCAATACCCTGCGAACAACTGCGTGCGACATACTCAGATATGGGATGGGACCGGCAGCTTTTTGAATCTTAACTTTTGCGGAGGATTAGAAGTCATCGCATAGCATTCAGCCAGCATCTTCTAAACCACGGCCGTGTGGTGAAACACTCTTTGGCTTGCCGTCACGCGATGCGGCGCACGACGGTTTTGGCCTGTGAAGGCCAGCAGAAGCAAAGTATGCGAAACAGAGAAGACAGTCTGCTGCGGGGCGATTGACTGTAGGCCCCTGATTGTGCTGGTAGGGTCCTCATGATACCTACCTTTGGTTGAACTTGCGGACACAGGAAGTGAAGCGTGCGAAATCGACAAAGCTCCAGGCCCCTGACATTCTCTGACATGCTGATGCCGTCTTCACCCATATCGAGGACGGAGATCGTCCCTCCGAAGGGAGCGTTTGCGGACAAGCAATGTGCCGAACTTCCTGTTTTGCAAGTGCGCCCAAGAGCGGCAGCAAACAGGAAACAAGCCTCGTGTCGAGCTGCCTGAAGGAAAAGGCCTTGCTAACATATGTGTACATATATGCATGCTATGTATACACTTGTGCGCATACTTGAAATATGTATGCTTAGTTAATATCTACATACGCATTTAAGTAACTAAGGAACCGCGTGAAACAAAGGCTGTTGGTTGAGATTGGCAGAATTGTCAAGCTGTGCTAGGTTGAACATCTTACAGTTTTGTGGCTTCACGTTGTTTCGGAGTAAGGCAAGCAGCGCCGCTAGATCCAGGACCAGATGGCGGGACCAAGCGGAAGTCCTGGCAAACATCAGCTGCATCCCACAGCTTGCACAATTTCTAGGAGCAAGCAGCAGTGGGAAGCTCACACTGTGTTGAAGGTGCAGCTTTCGTTTCACAGAACAGTGGTAGGCACTGGCTTTCAACCAGCTCTCATATTTATTATGTCTGCAGAAGCACCTAACGCTCACAGCACCGTTTTTCTTCACACAAGGCGTGCAGGTCTAGGTTCTCAATGGGCAACTCTTGTGGCCGGTTGAGCGCACCTCGTAGCATGGCATAGACCACATGTCCCCATGTGTTGACATCATCAGGGAGCAATCCTGTTTTCCTTTACGCAAGCCTGCAAACTATGAATAGACGCACCTCGTGCTCAAGCTCGAAGAGCTTCTCGCCACTTTCCAAATCCTGAGACAACAGGATTGTGAGAACGCATGCAGCCACAGCCATAGCTGCGTCTCGAATTAGTCTGTCCTGCCAACCTCCGTTACTTTTGGGAGGATCCTTTCCGGGGTCGCCAACATCCGGGGCCCTAAAGATCTTAAAGGCGTTTGCGCATCTTCTGGCTAGGCGCGATGATATCTTTGAAGCGGAAGCAGTTGTAGTGCCTGGCCTCAAAACTGCGAAAGCTTGGGAAAGGTTTTGGCAAGGACAAGCAGCCAACCTGTCTCAGTCCTCCATCAAATTATCAGAAGCTGAAAGCTGATCTCGTGTCGCCTCCTCGAGATTGGTCGACTTGTCAAGATGCACGAAGCGGGGGTTGACCCAAATGAGGCCTGCGGCAGTCGTTGGTGCATGCGTTGCCAACCGCAGGCTTCAGCTACTCTCTGCGATTGATATGCAGCAGCCTCGATTTTGGTAGGCAACACTGACACTGCCCAGGCCTTGCTCAAGTAAGCGCTCAAAGCAGCTGTCGAAGTCACGCACATAGATTGCCAGGTGCTCTCCTATCCTTGGACACGATACACTTTGCCCTACACTTCCAGCAAGACATATCGTCAACATCGTTTGGTATTGTCAGGTCGTGGCAGGTGGCTGCCTCAGTGCTGACAAGCGGCTGCTGCCCGCTGCAGCCATCGTGCTCCTGGACAAATTCAAGCAAACAACGTCTGAGCTTGAAGCTTCTTCACAAGGATACACAAGGCAATCTTGCTCACTGGTTTGGGGGTTGTGTTGGCACGGCAAATCCGTGTTGCAGAATCGAAGAACGCAGCCTCAAGACGCAGCCGCTGCATGGACTGAGGGCCGCCCAGCAGCGCCCAGGTTCCCGTTGACTCCGCGGTGGCGGTGAAGCCCAGGAGCTGCACCAGCGGAGTCATTGATGGCACTATGAAGTCCCGGCATCTGTGTTTTGATGCTTGCTAGCCAACTGCAGGGGCTTTGTAGCACTTGCTTCGCAAGTGGGCCACAAATCCACGCTTTGGCCTGCCTTGGCATAGAATTTAGCTCCTCGTTCAGCTGTGCCAGGGGGGACCTCCAAACTAGTGCTGCAGATTCACAGGCTCAGTCTGTTCGATGACCCAGGAGCCTTCAAGGTCACAGAGCCAATGCCAAGCACCTATCCAACAAGCAACTCCATCGACTTGGAAGCATTAGAACCGTCAGCAACATGACAACAAGGACGATGCCTGGCAGGTATCTGTGCCTGGCCGCACGCCAACGCTCATCGCCCCAGCGGCTTCCGTGGATGCTACACGCAAGGCAAAGATGTTTCCGTAGGCGTCGGAAACACGCAGCTCCTGCTGAATCACTCCAGCGGAACCAAAACGCTTGGATATGCTTGGTGTACAGCTAGCTGCTTCCAGCTGCGCCTGCAACTCTTCGCTCCAGCTTTCGACCGCCAGGCTGGTGCCCCGAAACTCGGCCTTCAACGAGGCGGTCGTGAAGGATACGTGACCTTTCCTACATGTCCTGCGAAGAGGAGCGTCACACCTCCTAGCTGACTTCCTGACATGGGTGACCTGGTACAGCAGGAAACCAGCGCACCTTCTCACGGAGCTGCGCCAACCGCATGGCAGCCGCATCAAGTGAGGCGCGACTGTCATATAACAGCCTTGGAGACAAATATGTCCATGTAGCTCTATTCACAAGGGCTGGTCAGCCTTCTGCCTCAGCCTTAAAGCTTCAACCGCTTCAACCTCAGGTTTCTCTTCATCTTCATATTCTCCACGGCTCCACAAGTTCTAGGATGTTAGCAGCTGAGCTGCTCCACGTGGCCACGCCAGGTCTGAGCCCCCTCGCCTGCAAAATTACCCTCCAAAAGATGGAGGCTTGATTGCTTGATTGCTTTAGTTGCATTGGTTGCCGCGCCTGCAATGTAGGCTTCGTTGTCCGGGGACGGTGTGTGAAACTGTGTCAAGGACCCGCAGTTACCTGCATTTGAAACAAGTGACAGACATCACAGTCAACGCTCAGTTCACACCACAGTTCACACTGCCAAATCGCTGGCTACGCCAGCGTCTCCCTTATCTAAGATAAAACTAAAAACTTAACGTTTTGTGATTTGTATACCCGAAATTAGGAAACGCTGGCATGGCCAGCATTTTTGCAGTTTTCACTGGTAGCGTTGACCGTAGACTTTACTGAGAGTTAAACTGTGAAATCACAGTTTGACACTTCCGTATCACTGTGGCACTGTTGCCTCTGGACCATGCTTGAAACGCTGTTTCTTGTCCAAGTTGCGTTGCATACGGCCACTGGCAACATTATGCAACATTGACAGTTGCCTGACATAGGCACTTCTTGGGTCAGACTTGCGTACAGCGACTAATTAATTTCGTGCACACAAACACTTTGGGGAAATTTGACACCCAAAATCTTGCAATTCTGCACAATCCACACGTTGGTCACTCCAGCGCACGATAGGGAAAATGCAAGGTCACGCACGAAGTGGCTATACGGCACGCGCGTGGCGTGAAATTACGCACCCATTTCATCCTCCTTCGGGGGGCCACTGCATCGCCTGTTACACGCAGTGCCCTTGGTGGTGGTTGCTTGGGGAACTGTGCCATGGAGGCATGGCTTCTTCCAGGATGGTAAGCTGTTCTGTCTCGTGCCTGCTGTTTCGTACACTTGCTAGTGATTCACGCCCCTTGCCTTGAAGCTGCTACGCCTCTAGCAGGCTTGCCCCCTCGCATGGCCGGGCCGGTGCAGAGGTTACCGTCATAGAGTACTTTCACGCATATCACGCATTCTTGCGAAAGGGTGCCTACTACCACGGGGAGCAGTTGAATTCCTTCGGGCCGAGAGGCTATGCAGAGTTTTCGACAAAGGCCGACGGGCATCCCGGCAGCATCCAAGCGCCTTGTGCAAGATTTGAACGAGCCTACACTGCATCATGATTGTTGCCAGTCACTGGATGTGGTTGCACATATCTGAGATTGGCACCTCGTAGAAGTCCAAGGCGACTTGGGTACTCAGCCTGTTCTTTATTTCCAACAGACGGCTTTCTAGGCCTCTCGAATCATTTTCAGCTGAACGAGGGTCGGGCACGTTTAAGTTCAGGTGCTCGATGAGCAGAAGGCCGGTCTCTCCAGCCTGCTGGGTCGATACCGTGATGCTGCAATCTGGATTTCGCGCAGTTTTCATATTCTCAGGCCATCAATAATATGACGCCTAGCTTGGGCCAGTCACGAGCTTGAACCTTCCAGATGGGTTGAACCAAAGCTTGGAGTGGTCCAACACGACTCCATGACAGATATTGCGGGTCTTAGTTCGGAGTTCTCCGAAAATGCCGTGTGACATATTGCGGGTGTACCCCAGCCTTGGCTATGGTCGCGTCTGAGCGCATCGCCATGGCAGCGCGAGTTGCGCGCCTAGTCACCATCCGCTCTCGGAGCGGTTCTAGGCTGAATATGGCTGAATGCTAGAGTTCTGACAACTGTGGTAACCAGAGTCGACGCTTGCAGCGAACTTTGTGCATGTGGTCAACAGAGAAGCGTACTGTGGATTGATCCCCAACCTCCAGCGCCAATGGCACGAGGTAGCTGCCAATGCGCCGGCGATCAGAAGTCGTGGGGCACCTGGCGAGCTTTCCATCTTGCAGGAGCCGTGGCCCAGGTCTTGAACCGACAGACCGGGCGGATAACTTGAACGCCCAAGTCTGAATGGAGGCCTAAAAAGGGAGCAGCAGACGAATGAAGGCAAAAGCACCGATGCTTACTGCACAGAAGCGGCACTATGACTTCTTCCCAACAGAAGGTTCCTCTTTAGAATTGCCTGTCAAGGGCTTCTCCAGGCTTACTTGCGTGTAATCCTGTCGGCGCGATGATGATTTACTGGACGTCTGTTCCAACCTGCGTTGGTCAGCGGCCATACTGTGCTTTATTCTGCTCACCTGTCCATCTTGATACCTTTGGCAAGAAGTCAGCAAAAGACACGTGATACCGTCTTGTTCGCATCTACGTCAACGCATACATGCCTGCAAGACCTTGTAGGGATAGCACAAAAAACATGCGCATTGCCGTCTGCGAGTTAGGTATCTCTACAAGATTTGCCAACCTACTTGGATTGGGCTGATGTCACTCTGCCTGCCTTCCGGTCAAGAACTGACCTCCCCACCTCTACCGGCATGCGCCGATGCTCTGTGCAGATCGCCACGCAGCTGAGCTTGTGCAGAGCCGCAGCCAGGCAAAACAAGCTGTGTGCACAGCGTTGGTGGCGAGTGGAGGAGCATGCCAGTGCGAGGATCTGTACCGCAGTTACTCTGTGCTGTGCACGAGCTGAAGAGTTGATGTTTCTGACTTTCGACTTTAAGCTTCAAGTTGCTTGCCTACATATGTTGCCAGGCCATTCGAGTAGCTTGAAGTGACATCACGGCCCTCGCGCATCTGGCTAAGCTGAGGAACTGTCGCAGCTGCGTGTTGGGCAACCCACTGCTGCATGCTTGACTTCATGTTCTTGCACAACCCTTAGCTAGCGTCACGCAGAAACAAGGCTTGAGTAAGGCCATCGTGCTGTTATTGGCTGTTATCACATGTTGAAACCCCTGATGACCTGAAGCATGCCAATCAAAGAGATGCACTGAGGCTTACTTGCTGGCTGCACCCCAGACTTGTGGGCAAGAAAGTCGTGGAAGAAATCACATGCTTCAGCTTTTCAAGATCGTGTTGGAGTGTACATGCAAAGAGATATAAAAGATACGCCCACACCCGCCTCGGGACAATCGTCGTCCCCATGGCAGCCCGCAGCCACGGCGGCTGGCGACATAATTGAAACGGCAGTTTGAGCAGATGAGAAATCCTACCAACGAAGCCCGTTTAGACCACTGATCGTTCTCTGACACCTTCCGTTCTCCCTCCTGCAAAACCTGGTGAATGTCCCATACCTGTCGTGGCCCCCTGAACCCTGTGCCACCTGTTAGCCGCGCATCCTTCTGGATCATTGCGATACCCTCCGGCTCATCATCGATCAAGGCCATGATGTCAATCTTAGGGAGAATGGTATGTGCTCTAGGCTTCTCCAAAGATGAACAAGGTTGTAGTCATGATGGCAGTGGCAGGGATGATAGCAGTAGCAGCAGGGGCAGCGCAAGAGTTGGTATTGGCGATGGTGATGGTGACAGGAAGGAGGAACAACAGCCTGCTCAGGGGACCCGGGGATTCCATGTTGCTGAATTTGCGGGTTTCCTAAAATCAGGGGTACCGCGTTGGGGGTCCGTATAATAAGGATTGTAATATTTTGGGGTCTATATTGGGGTCCAAATCAAATCAGGTTTCGAGTAGCATAAGGACAAGACAAAGGAGAAGAACCGCACAAAATGGCTGCCATGAGCAAGAGATCGAAAGGGATCAGGCCATTCAAGCACGCTAGGGGGCTGGCATCTTCATCGAGGGGCTCCCATGATCCTTGCACGGATCCGGCCACAAATGTCCCCTGAGCGCAATTGCTTGTTGGCCCAGCTTCAGAAGGCACGCAATCTGATGTGCAAACCGCATACTGCTGGCAGAATTTGACCATGACGTGACTGACTTGATTGATTGCCCGGCCTGTGCCAAGAAAGTGGCCAGCACCAGCAAACGTGCCATCATCGGTCACGCCTACAAAGCGAAAGGTTCACGAGGGTGGATGCTAGAGTCGAGCATGCAGAATAACGCCCGGCCTGTGGGATTTCTTTTCTTAAGGAATGCACGTAGGCGCAGAACAGGCAAAGCCCAGCTGCGGAAATGAGGGGTCATGCCATCACTGCAACAGCAGGCTGCTGTCTTTCATGAAGATAACCCAATGATGGAGGGCTCCACATTTTCCGTCATCTCGCTGGTTCTGGGTGCTCTATGTTCTATGGATAAGCCCTGCACGCTATAAAGCCATCGACGAGTAGTGAAACAATGGGCGGCGGCGTGCTGAGAGAACCATGTGTGAAACGTAGCAAGTCTAAGCGAGTGCCTCCCCTCATCCATAATGAGTACCTGAGTAACTATCCTTCGCCAACCTCTGTTGTCAGGTTTGTCATGTGCTGACAAGGGGGCACTCCCTGTGCTTGAGTTTGCATGTTTGCATTCAAGGTGAAATGAGAGCACTATCTGAGCAGGCAGAAGTCCCAAGGACAATACAATGGAGCATGCTGTCATGGTTGGTTGGTTGGTTGGTTGGTTGTTTTCTTACCGGCTTGTAATGGACCTGCTCGAAAACCAGGGGAGGCAAGACATGCCCCTCGTTGAGAACGGGTGTTTTCTTCGGATTGTGATTAAAAGAAAGCGAATGAAGCATTGGAGGACAGCACTGGATTTCATATTGCAGAGTGTGGACCCAACTGACAGTTCATGGCTAGAATGACTCATGGCCAAACTGGTCTCTGGGAGTACTGGAGGATGCGCAACACCACAGCTGTGTGCTGTCCAATTCCGTATGCTGGCGTCAGGAAGCCGTCCTGCTATGATCCCCCTGATCTGATGGCGTTACATTCAGCCACCAGTGACCGAATGGGCCGGTTGTATAGTTCTTTCTGCGCAAAGGGGGGGATCAAGGCCATGCAGCTGCTAAAGCATTCGTGTTATCATGCTGGACACGGGAGCACTCATTGTAAGAAATACAATGAGGCAAATGGCACCCCCATTCAGGCTGGCTCCGTGACAGGAGCCCAAAAAGCCTGCTGCCATGTCATCCAAAAAGACTTGGCTCGACTTGAAGAACGGCGCAGGCGCAGCTTCAGCCGCGTCTTTCGCCGATCTCATCAGTGTCTGGAAGCTCAGTGAAGTCTCTCCCAAGGACCTCCGCGAGCTCTGCCTTCAAGTCTTTGTCCTCCATGCTGATGTAGAAGGCGGGGGAAGACGAGTGGATCCCCCACATTTTGCAGTCGTACTGAAACCGCTTGTCTACCTTAGTAGCGCTGACGCTGTCACATGTGAGGTGCTGCAGCAAAACGGGCACACCGTTGCCTAAAGCAGTCCACGCCGCAGCCCACAGGAGGCGAATGCCCAGATAGACAGCGCTTATGAAGCCTTCCTTGTTCGAAGCCTCAGAGGTCACCTGGCATCCACAAATCGAAAACATCAGGGGCAGCTGCTGAGCATCAGACCCCTGCGACCCGTGGCAATCTTGCAGGGCGAGATACAGCCAGCATGAGGTTCGTGGGTGCTTCCTCGCGACACTACCGCGCTTGTACTTCTTGCGTCGTCTGTTGCTGCTCGATGGGGTGCCAGTGGCATCCAATCGAAAACGACAAGTGAAGCCTCTCCTGGTTGCTGTGCTGCTCCTTGTGCCCGGAGCCTCTGCCACGCACTCGCCTCATATGCCATGTCTGGACGGCATAAATTGAACAAGAGGCTGAAGGGGCGTGACATAGCTGACGCAAGCATGGAGACACAGCATTCAAAACTGGGGACGGAACACTTTGCAACCAGTTTCTTCGTGAATCGACCTGGTGTTGATGCCGCCCTTGCCGATGATCGTGGGTACCTAGGCAAATGTATGTGCACACATGGCACCAGGAAAATGCACATCTCATCTTGCTGCGTAGGTCATGGGTATTACTGCTTTCTGAGGCTCGTAATCGCTTCCCATTCGCAGAATGAAGTTACAGCAAAGCCGTTGCTTCGCAGACCTTGCAACATCTCAGCATCATGTCAGCTGTCCACAGCTCGAGCAATTCTAAGAGGGCCTTGACGATCTTGACGTGGTCTCCACACTCATCACACTCTCTTCATACTGCGTCCTGTGACAATGGCCAGGGCAGGCTGAGAGTATTGGACGAAGTTGTGAAATCTCAATGTCGCGCTGTGCGAGCCTTTTGCTGCGCTTTCTGGAGTTGCGGCTGGGGCGCTCCCATAGCCTCTGCGTTCTAAGATCTTCTGAGAAATCGCTGAGCTACGGCGCTGAGCTCAGCACATTGCCAAAATCTCTTGGCCCATCTCGCGACCATTCATCCTGCAGCGGAGCTCTATCACAACATCATACAACATCACACTGTATGATACTGCATGAAGTTTCTACATCAGGCCCCTACATCGCGATCTCATCGTGGAATGCCTGGGAAAATGTGATCGTGCAGCGGAACAAAATCGGCCATGGATGGCGGTGTCAGGTCGTCTTGGGATGGTGCACTCTCCAACTCTTCCAAGTCAAGCTCATCAGTTGTCTCGTCACCTGCAAGCTGAATGTACAAAAACATGTCTCAACTTCCAAAGCCACCTGAGTTGATTCAGTTCCCAAGCCACATGCAAAGGGACCGAGAATTCAGGGCGCCTGCTTCGCCACTCTCGCTCTGTGGCGACAACTCCAGCTCATCCTGCATCTCGTCTTTGAATCCTCGTCTGGCTCTGCTGCAGTTTTGTGCAATCTGCCGTGCGCTTTGAAGACTGGAACAAATTCGTGACCTCAAACCTCCTGTTGGGGCAATGCATGCACATCTACAAGAGAATAAATAGTACATAAAACCAGCACTGCCATACCATGGTGAACGTCGCGCTATGAAAATGAGCGTCTGCCGCAGGGAGCTAGGTCACCCTGCGGCATCACGTGCATAGGCTCTTCCATTGGCATCCTGCGGCCGTTCAGCAGCTTTCATGCTCAAGTGTCTACATGGCCATGAAAGCTCAATCTACGTTGCTGAGAAGTCTGCAGAACATGTTTTGGTGCTGACATAGGCACACGTCTGAGTATTTGTGATGAGGACGTTGCGGGCTCACTTTGCTATCGTCGCACCTCGGGGATTCGTGCTCCTCTGCACTGGTGGATCTCTGCTCTTCGCTGTCACCTTGCCGACAAGGTTATCACGATCAAACATATGAGGCTTTGAGGTTGGCAATCTGGCAGGAAGGCCTGTGGAGTTTGCTGCAGGAAGCTCTGCATCAGATTTTGGGGCAAGTGCCTCCGCCATGCTCAGGTCACACGTTTCGAAAAGAAATGGGCGCGTGTGCCGTGAGCTGAGTTCCTGATACTCGATGATTGGGCCATGAAAACATGTACAGAGTGCCCAACTCCTACCGCATCCGAAAGGCTCCTGAGTGACTTTTTGTTGCACTCTTTGGTTGCTGGCCTCCAGCAGCCCAGCTGCTGAGACGTTGACGTTGATGGGCGCCACCAAGCAGTAAGAGCCCTGAGGGGAAACAAAGTAAGTCCCCGGTGGGAGTTGCGGCATTTGCGGCCACACCTGACAGGTGAGGGAGACAACGGGAATTCTTTCCGAACTCTGCATGTGGCTGATACCTGTGCAATTTGAGCTAGAGTGCTGGTGAGGACCAGGATGGCAACGACTGCACCATTGGCATTGGCATCGGCATGGGCCACTGGCATGACACGGCATACGGAACTGCAGTGGCGTCCCCCTGCCATGCCTCAGGACTGAGCTTGCAAACTTGGACATGCATGCCCTGCCAGGCTAATGGGCTCTTTTGAACTAGAGGAAAGTGAGAAATAGCCAATATCTCATCTTCAGGTGCTGATGAGCCTTACCACTATTCTACACCTGCTTGTTCTTCTAAAGAGCACTTGTGATGCTTGAATGCTTCATGCTCGATACCGCCAGCTATCCATGGCTCTCGGACCCTGGCATCGATGCATCCAAGCTGAGGTTCTGAACCTCATTTGTCATGACGCACACAAATTGATTTCAAAAACCATGTTGCGTGCTCAAGACAATAAGATTTTATGAGGACCGAACTCTGATCTTGCACGCCGTCAGCTGCAGCGCAAGCTGGGGCATCCTTGACCTTAGCCCCCACACACTGGAAAATGTAACAATGCACCTGCCAACTCTTCGTGAGTAATTTTCAATCGCTGCTGCCTCTCAACATCAAAGAATCACTGCTTGTGGGTTTGGATAGAATGACAAAGCAGCTCCAGGTGCAGGACCATTGGTGCCATTGTGTCCTACAGGTCTATAAAAACAAGGGAGAGACCTTCGCAAGCCGAAAAGGCCAGCTGCAAACCAACGTTGAGATATGTAAACTCAGCAGCACTTCAGGAGTGCGCAATGGCAAGTGCAATCCCACTATGGCACACGTGGCCTGGACTGGATATTCTTCAATCAGCACGACTCTTTTCTGGAAGTAACGCTAGCGTATTCATCCTTCTCAAGTGGCTCCGCGCGATGCCTCTGTACAAGCTTGCAGCCTGGAGCCAGTGAGAGAAGGGGCTCGTGTGGCAAAATGCACATGCTGTGCTTTGCCATCTGCAGTCTCACTCAAAGGGCGGTGTCCGTGTGCTACCTAGGCAAGCGGAAAAACAGGTATGAGTAAAGACCACAGTGCACACTGAAGATTTTGAACGTACAAACCATTTAGGCACGACTGAAGATCAACGTGATAGGCATCACCCAGTTCTTTAGTAAATGATAGCTGTAGCTAAACAGCAGCAATAACGAGCGTGAACAAACACAGACCATGGAAATTTTCAGCATCATGATGCGACCGGATCGCGATATCTCACCGCCGTCGTCTCCACAGCCGGCCAATGGTGGATGCGGCATTGTCCTCCACCGCCCGAAGCTCAACCCGTGTAAACCTCGCTTTTGGTTCCAGACGAGCACGTAACGCAAGGATTCAGCCGACATGGGATCGTAAAATGCTCACTTCTTTGTCTCTTCGAGGGCTGATACTTTGTTGGCTGCCTATGCTGGCACATGGCGCTGCCCTACCATTCTGTTCGAGCAATCTGCTCAAAGAGATAACAACATATAACAACCGACATCCAGTGGAAGTGAAGTGTAGTATCTTCTCTGCTGGCAGGTGGCGACACAACCTTGGTCAAGCTGCCAACTGCCAAAGGCCAAACAAGGTCGGTGGACTGCTTGGCTCTCTGAGAGAAATAATCTGCATGCTTGAGGCCATGGCTGGCTCCTCCGCCTCTAGCACCTGACGAATCACGTGCTTGCATTCTGCAGGTCTGCAGGAAGCAGGCGAAGATAGGGACCTCGACCAGGCCACCCTCATCCCTCAACTTTCGAGTGCCGGCAGCAAGCTGGACCTCTTTCAACGGGATCCTGAGCTCAGAACCAGCTCTGCTATTGGACACAAGCCCCTGAAACTCAGCCAGACATGAGCCCCAGCAAAAGCTGCAGTCGGACTTTACCACATTTTACCATGCACTCCTGGACACCTAAAAACGGGGCTATGGAAGAGCCAGGTTTCTTGAGCGCGTTCGAAACTTCCCGCTTCAAACGAAGCACGTTCCATCCTTCAAGGCGCATGCACTGCTCAGCACAAAGGTTCTGACTCTCGCATAATGGCCAGTCTAAGAACTTATCTTGACAACGCTTTTCGAATCTCGGCCGATATTCCCCAATTGCGGCAAACCTCACACAGCGCCCTCATGAACCCGTAGGTCATGCTCTCAAGAGCTTGAATACAGTCCAACTCAAAGCAGAAACTGCTTCAGCCTGTGCTTCGCCACTGCCGCATGCAATCCGATAACTTGTCTGGACTCATGGACCCGAATATTGACTTCCAGCCCAGAGTACTATTAAGTTTGACTGAAATGGCTTCACTATCAGATCCAATGCAACCTGCTGGAATCGTTCACATGGCAGCGCTGTGCCTGGCGCACAGCGGACTTTCAGAACTTCCTCACCTGGCAAATGCTTCCAGCAGGGATCCAAATGCCAAGACTAGAGCACGCATTGTGGAGAATCGAAAGGAAGAGAACACGGAAAATGAAATGGAAGCTGGGTCTTATATAGAAGATCGATTGCTTACATCTTTCGTGGCTGTCTGAGCGAGCAATTCCGGGCATCTGTGTCGAAGGGTGGTGGATGGCCTTCTAGCTTGGCCATATGGCCTCCCTAAATAGGGGGATCCCACGATGGACCCAATATATTTCAGATCTTATTATGGGGAATCTAAAAAGGCACCCCTAATTTCGCAAAACCACCATATTCATCATTTCGCTCAGCAGAGCCTGAATCTGTTACATCCAGTTTCCAACCCAAAGCAGCAGAATGCAGGTAGCTGTGTCTGAACTGGATTCACTGCTACTACAGCTCTGCCTTGTTTTCCAGTATACGCCCCAGGCACCATTCTGGACTGCTGGGACAGGACCACTGATTTCAGACACCCTAAGCCCTCCAGAGCGAAGATAATCCGCCTGCGTTTTTCGCCTACGGGCGCGCGCAGTGGATTCAACACTCAAGCCACAATCAAGAATCTTAGGAGGGACCCCTAGAAAGGATCCCCAATCCCACCACCTGATGTGGGCCTCATATAATATAACCCTTATATACCCACTGTATAATCCCCACATACAAGCTTTCCACCATCGGGGAAAAAAATCTATCCCTAGACCCGAAATGGTAGTTTCCATTTTGTTTTCCACTACCCCCTATATGAGCTATGGTCGCATCTCCTTAAATAGGGGCGGGGGTGGGGTATATAGGGGATTATGTAGGGGACTACTATAGGGGCTATTAAGGGGGATACTAGGAGTCTAGACACAAACCCCCATAATAATCCCCTGTATAATCCAGTTTCCATTTGATTTTCCATTTGATTCTCCACTATCAAGGGGGATACTTGGAGTTTAGACTACAACCCCTATAATCCCTTGTCTATGTATGTAAACATGTATAATCCCTATTTAACCCTACAAAATAATGGTTTCCCCTAAGCCCTTTTCGCAACAGGCTTGCACGTTCGCGCCTGGGTTCCCCTAAGCCCTAAACCCCAAACCCTAAAGCAGCTTGACCCAACCTGGCAAGTTGACGATGACTACCTCCTTGCTGCCTTGTGGACAGGCAGCATCAACAGAATGAGGAAAAGGGGGATTCCTAAAGTTCGGGCTGTCATTTTGGAGCTCCTTATCATAATCTATTTGGGGGTGCCCTATTTGTGGAAACTACCATATAATATTATAAGCTCCCTCTTTGCTAGCAGTCCTATTGTGCTTATTGTAAATAGACGAAGTACATGCTGCAAGCACTGCCAATACTCTAGACGGTGCTTCGCATGATGACTGAGTGGTAATAATTCAAAATATCTTAAAACCCACCAACACGATGAACACCCGGACCGAACACTACCACAAAAGACTGCACAGATTGGTGTGTTTGAAGTTGAGTTCTTATCTGGATGATGCCTTAAGAAACCGTACAATTGACACGAGCTCGATCCTAATGATGGTGATTCCTGTGAAGACCCCTGGCCAAGTGAAACTATCTGGCTGGGCAGGCCTTAAAGATATGATCATTCGTACACATCCAAGTGCTAGCGACCCCTTTAGAAGGGTGTTTTGAAAGAGCCATCTGCGTAGCCTTCTTGCTCTTCAGCTCGAGTTTGCATCCTCCATGGTGACATGTATTGGGGTTTCTTGGATTAGGGGCAATGTTGGGATCAGACAAGGGGAATCTTGAGAAACTCCGGGATTGAATGGCGGAGAATGCCCCAGGCGCGGAACTCTGGACTTTATGAGTTAAAGGCTTGTAGCAAGAATCATGCAGCACGTTTAGCAGCTGAGCGCTGTGGAGCCAAGCCTTCTGTGTCCCCTCCCCCAACCTTCTCCACTCCCCACGAGACCCAGCAGCCCTGTCATGTGAGTCTAGAACTGGTGACCAGTGACCACAGCCCCCTGGCCTGGCCCTACAGATAACGCCCATACCAGCAAAGTCATGTTTTCAATTCCCATTGTCGACCTACCGAGCCCTTGCCCCAAAAGCGTTCTGGGACAACATGTGAAGGGAAGGCTGGGGAGTTGCGGGGATTCAAGAAGCATGACTTTGCTGGCCGGAGATAAGCATCCCAGAGCCCCCCCCAAAATCCAAACTCCTAATCTCCATGTAGCAAGCCGCATCTTTGAGTGCTGCACCAATTCCCAACTTGTTTTAAATTGGCAAGCACCAAAATGCGGTAGCCTGCTTCTGCGGATCACCCTGTTGACCTGATCTGATTCATTTTCCCTTGAAGGAGCCCCTACGTTGTGGTTGTAAGACCGTCGGGTCCTAACACAGTTGCTACCAACAAGGACGCAGGATGCCGGGTCCTCCTGAAGGCTTGCTGGATCTTCCGCGCCTGGTCTTCCGCGGCCATGGGCACCGCAGCTGAAGCCGGCGAGCTGGGAGGAGGCTTGAAGCCGAAGTGAGACTCATCCAGGTGTCAGACAGAACGTCTGCATGATTCGTACGTTACAGCTGGCCGTACCCCTACTTCATTCCGGCCATTCGGTGCCAAAGCCCTAGTTTGCCATCACAGATATCAGCACTGGAATCTTTGTTACGGTAAGCTATCCTCCCCCTGCTGCATTGAGACTGTCTGAGCTGTAGTCCGGACGTTCTTCCTGGACACTCTTTCTCTGAACCAAGTTGACTTAGTTTCATGTCTTGGGTATTTGGTGGCAAGGACAGCAGATCATCATCAGCATCCACCAGCATCCCATCAAGCATCTAGAAACCAATGCCGCATCTGACCCATTAGCTCCAGGCCAGCCAGTCTGTACTTAGCATCCCACATCCCACCATCCTGCACAATCCTTCCCTAATTTTTTTGCGAATTGAGCGATGTTCGTTATCGGGGCGGCATGTCCACTTCGGAGTGCCGCCGGCATCAGACAGAGCTGTGTCTTTTGAGAAAACAACTCCTGGAACTTCTATTGCAACCTCCTGTTTCATCCACGCCTTAAGCTTCAAGCTCCATCTGCTTGTGGTCTATGTGCAAAGCCGGGCTGATTGCGCGTTTGCGCGTACCGTCCCAGCTAGTTTCTGGACAAACAATTTTTTTCTTAAAAAAACATTGTGCTTCAAGACATTTTACTGCTGGGCTGACAAACACCCATCTGTGGACTACCCTGCATCGATCCATGCGTACTGAACCCTGCAGGCATGAGAAGTGACTCAACTTGAAACGCTCGCGGCCTTGTCCCGCAGCTTTCGCATTTCCCCTGTTGTCTGCCTGCTCATACTTTGCAAGCTCTTTGCGCTTAGGTAGCTACGTGGTGGTTCACAAAAACCCATCTTCTAAAGCGTATCCTCTGTCACCATCCTGAGGCAAATGCGTCATCGAAACAACGCGTCCTCGACTCTTGGGAAAACCCAACAGCGAGCTTGCTTTGTAGCTTCCAGTATGTGGCATCCATAGCCATCGCTGGGGTGCTTTGCCATCTAACTGATGTTGGTTGCGTGCGCCGCAACCCCTAGAATTCCCGCTCAGGGCGTTGGCTGAAGGCTTATACGCCATCCACCGGTATCCTTAGGCTGACATCTTCTGCTTGCAGAACGAGTCGAGGCTGGTAATGATCCCTACATAATCCCCCTGCAACCCCATATAACCCAAATAAGCTTGCAGTTGCAATTCCTACTAGTTGTAACATGTTGTAACTACTATCAACATAATCAGGCCACACATTTGCCGAGCTTCAGCCACTGGGCTTGACAGATGTCCCGTTCGCCACGAGACTGTCGCCGATTGGCCATACCTCAAACCATAAATTTCTTGACAGGGGTATATAGGGTCCCTGTACAGGGGGTACAGGGGCGATGTAGGGTTATATAGGGATTATAGAATTATTTAGGGGTTGTATGGAAATAGTAATCCTATGATGGAGAAGTAAATGGAAACGACAATTGAAGATGAAATGGACACCTCCTCAACTTACTTTTGCTTACGAGAAAATAAGGGAGGTAATATAGGGTTAGGGGGATCATGTAGGAAGTATTGTAAGCATCCACTCCTCCCTCGAACCTCCCTTAAGCACCAGTAAGTCAAGTTCAGTTCGCCAGCATTTTCATCTACTGTAGTTGGGACATGCTTTGATTCTGCGTGTGGCAGGAGCTGGCCATTTCAGGTAGCTTTCAGCTTCCAAACATGTGCGCAATCTGGGTAACTCCAGTGACTCTGGATTGAGGACATCAAAACGTCGTGGACAAACAAAAACAGAAACAATGGCTTCATGCAACCTTCTGACCCTGCAGCATAATTTCCAGACCCCTTGGCCGGCTGAAGTGGCCTGACTCCTGTGGCCTGGGTAGGTTGTATTCTGCATTTGCAGCATCTGATTAGCCCTGGGCCTGCTAGGCCATGACATGACATGACTATGCTGCTGACAAGATTCGCGAGCGTGCGGGGGGGTGCTTTATCTGCATCGCCGGCACAAAATTGAAGTGACGTTGCCTGAGGCCGCAGTAAGGTTCTGAGCACGACGTTGCTGCCCTTGCTCCTACTCTTTTGCTCCTTTGACTCACCATACTCCCAACTTTTGAACAGCCCTGAGGCTGCAGGAGATGATCCATATTGCATACTACCCAAAAAGGGCCAAGCGTCCGGAGCAGTGATCTTGAGCTCTGCCTTGCTGTCAGGCATTGACTCATGTTTCTTGAGATCCTGTCAGCAGCTACTGCCTCCAGGCATGGGTCGCCCTCCGCAGTGGTTCCGGCCAGGTCAACATCCTGACACCACAGCAGCCAGCAGAATGTCAGACTCAGTGCGTAGCAGTTCATCTTCCTTTGCCTGCTTGTTGCTACTTCTTCATTGCTTGTGACTCACAGTGCGGCTCCTCCACTGTCAACACGACGGGACCAAACACCACAAGGTGTGCAGTTCGATGTCCGCCATAGTTGGAAGCCTGCACTGCAAATCAACTCGCACCTATTTCCTCAACTGCTGTGATGATACTTATACCAATCTGGATGAGTTCCCGAATCGGGGTTGAGCAGCCATCCCGTCTGAGATCCAAGAAAGATTCCATACTGGATTGCAAGCTACAAAACAACTAGGTATTCAGCGCAGCACTAGGAAGTCAATGCCTTTGTCAAAGCATTGTGCCTTCGGACAAGTCTCCACTTATTCATCAAAAGCGTCTTTAGCGCCGTGCAAGCGTTATGATAGGCGGGCAGCTCTCGGAAACAGGGAAACTACTGGTAGCAGCCGAGAGTCCTGGAGAGTGCGCTGCCTGGCCTCAAAAAGCTCAAGCCGTGGCGGTGCAACTCTCGCAACTTTAAAAACAGACAACGGCAAACAATAGGAACACAACAAACTGAAACGAGGCAGCTCTTGTTGTCCACATTTGTGCCTTCTGTCTGACCCTGAGCTGCATGTCTCTGAAAAATCGAGTTTTCCTTTGATCTTTGGAATGACTAAGTGACACTGAGTGACTACGTTGTTCAGTGGGTTGACAACCGAACCCTGACTTTGGAAGGTGTAGATCCAAAACAAGGCAGGCGTCGCTGCTGTAGATTTGCAGAACGCCATCCACCTGCAGGTCTGGAGCCAGGATATTCATGCTAGTTCTAGATTTAAACCTCAACGTGCCGCTAGGACTGGGACACCCTCATGCAAGTACACAATCTGCTGTTGCACACCAACTGAGTGCATGAGCTTCTATTGATGGATGTTCCCGAGCTGGTGCTGCTGCTGAGTAGCGGGCAGGGTGAGATGGTGCAGTCACTTTGAGAGCCCGATTGGGGAGCTTTTCCAGGCGAGTTTGCCGTAGCACGTGGAAATCAGACTGCCGCAGCGAGAGCTTGGAAGCCAGTCCCCTATTAAATGCACGTTCAAGAGTTCAGGGTGGATTCCGAGTCAACACATCATCTAAATGGGCGTGGCCGCCTGCAAAAACCAGCTGTTGTGCGCCTCCACGCTACAGAAATGTCAGTGGCAGTCTTTTTGGACTTCAAGTGCTGACCATTGGGCCCTGCTACTGCGCAACCTTGTACAAATGGAAATGCCATTGACAACATCGTGATTCTAATTGCCACTGACTGCTGCTTTTCTGCGTGTGGCTGTTCCTGGGTCGGCATTGGCGTTACCCGCTCCCGCCCGTGTGAACGCACTGAAGCCTCTTACACGTGAGAGCTCCCAAATCCTTAATGACTGAATGTACACGCTGGGAATCCTCTATGATCAAATAAGCAGAAACATCAGACCTGGATGAATCCAAACACATGCAGCGCAAGAATTGCTGCAACAGCAGCAGCAGCAGCAGCGCCGCCGCCACCGCTGCTGCTACTGCTGCTGCTGATACTACTACTACTACTACTAATAATAATAATATGAATACAAATGGTAATGATAATTACGACTTGATCTTGATGATGATGATGATGATGATGATGAAGTCCACGTTGCACACGCATCTTCCACTTGGCCTGACTGGAACACGTGACGTCCAAGCAGCTTCGCGTTGCAAGTCAGGTTGTATCGTGCTGACTGAATGTGCAACAAAACCCTTCAGTTCTCGTGAGGATGCTGTTTGCTCTGCCTGGTCCAGCTCCCCGATCTGTGCAGTTGGAGTGAGCTGCAGGCCCGCTTGGTTCAGGATGCCCAGCAGGTCGACCTTCAGAGCACGCAGTGGGCCATGACGCGGAAGACAAATACAACGTGCTTGACAGCTCACCATCTTCAAGCTAAGTAAAACAATAGCAGCTAGCAAGCGAGATAGCCTTGGAAAGCCTCAAGTTTGCCGTGCTGACGAACAAGCCGTGATTGATGGCTTTGGAGCTGTCTGTGCTTCGCCCTGCCCTGCGCAAAGCGGCCTTTGGCGTTTCTATCACTGGTGTGCCAGCCACCTTGACAAAGAGGACATCGCTGACGGCTCCTCCAAAGAAACCATTCTCTTCAGCGGCAAGCTTTGCTGATGCGGGATTTTGGAACAGCAAGGAGACTTAAAGGTCCTTCGCCGAAGGCATTTACGGCCGCGACCTGATAGCCATAATCACGACCAGGCTCCAGTCCCAAATCGTTGAACTGCCTGACGCATCTCGTTTCTGGATGTCTGGATATGCACGCCGAAGCTGCTCAAACCAAAATGCAGAGTGGCAAGATGCTGAATCCCACCCAACACACACAGACCGTAACGTAAGAAAGCTAAGTTTGTTGAGCACAGGCGCGTCTGGACCGTGCTGCCAATCAGCTCATACAAAGCCTTGGGATGGATTTGGTTGTTGGTTGCGACTTAAAGCAGCGGCAGGCCTTGCTTTGGCAGGTGCTGGCTAAACTTGCGCTTGACACGAAGCTCCCAGAAAGCGCGAATTCTCAAGACGCTGTGAGTACAACCAAGGTGGAAGCCAGGCTGGCTTAGCAAGACCGATCTGCTAAAAAGTGGCGAGCAACCTGCCGCAACCCTCGATCGCGATAAAGGTTGTAGTACGCCTTGCCAGAGACTAGTTTGCTGTGGAAGCGTTATGAAGCATCATGAATGGTCTAGCTGACTGCAACAGAGAGATACAACTTTTGTCTGCATTTGCGGTTCGGTGCTACAACCCTGCTGGCCGTCTCTGCACCGGCTGCATCCTGTGGAGGGTTCCAGGCCAGTGTCCTTGTTTTGCTCACAAACGAGCTTGTGAACGAGGCCGTCGGCTTAATTTGCATCTTTAGGGGCCTGCGGTCAGTACGTCTCCTGGCGCAATACCCCCAAGCCAATTTGCAGAAAGAGACTCAGCGACGCAGTCTCCCCATCTGCCGATACCGACGACGAGACCTGTGCCAACCAATGTCTTCATCTGACAGGAGATTGCCACCAACATGCGCACGCTTGAGACATCACTCTGACTGCGTCCGATTCCAGCTCTCCGCCTTAAGAATGCGGTGCGACGTGACAGGCCTCACGTAGGTTGGAGATGACGCCCGGCCGCAGGAAACAGCCCGTCTGCAAAGGCGCACTTAGAGGTGACCTGAAAGAGTTCATCTGTCAATGCAATCCTGAAGCTCAGCTCTTCACTCTACTGCTGTGCACTCCAGACACTTGAAAACAAAGATTTCCAGTGCTTCCTAGCAACCAGCCACCAAAATTTCGGCCCGACAGGGTCACTTCATAGCTCAGACCTGGCCAAAGGCTGACGAGGCATTCTTGTCAGGACTCATGCAAACAGCCATCCAACCTCACAGTGGGTGTGGGTCTCCACTTTGCATGTCTCTTTTCGACGCTCTCCGCTTGCAACCCATTTCACGTGAAGTCTTGTGCTTCTCTGTGCCGCCCACGTAGCCGAAAGCACTGTGGGCAAAAGGTGTGTTCAACACGCCAATCAAAAAAGAAAAAACATACAAAGTCCTTCATCAAGTACTGTCACAAACTTTGAGGTTGCTGCCTGCCGCCTTCCACACCAGCACATATGTGCCACAAGAGTTCGGTACGTGCTGCCCAAAACCAAACTTCAATTTCAGCTATCCCGACCGAATCAACTTGTGACACGAGGCGACTGCACTCGCCCAGCCCTGTTGAGCAAGCGGCAGCAAACTTCACGAAGCTACACAAGGCTCTCTTCCAGAGGGGGACTTTGCAAGCAGAGTTGGTGATTTCTAAGCTGCTAGGCTATGAAAGAGGACAAGCAGACTCAAGCCATGCTTTGCGAATCCTGACCATGGATCAATGTTGGAGACCCGCTACCTAGTGGCAGCTGTCCTGAAGCTAGATGAAAGGTTCTGGAGCTTGGCTTAAGCTAAGGAAGCTAAAATCAGCTTGTTTTAGCCTGAAGGCTTTATTGACCAATCTGGCGCAGCAGGCTGCCCCAATTGCGCCAGTCATGGGCATTGACGTCGCATGAGCCCCGATCTCCACGATGACAAAAGTTGCAGCGAAAGTTCTTTCTTGTGCATCTGGCCCCATGTGTGCAAGGCAGCTTGGTGCAAAAAGCACACTGCCCAGGTTGGGCTTGAGGATTAGGTTCGACAATGCAACGCCGAGCAGTGGTCTTGTACCTGGAGTTGGGCTGGCTGACGATCACCCTTTCGGAAGATATGTGATACAGTCTTCTGGTGTGCTGTGTGCACATTTGTTCGAAGACTGCGTCGGGATTCTTGTCCCAGCCCACACTCGATACAATGAACTGCTCCGTGGCCCCGTGCGGCATGGCTGGAATCACCGCGGTCAAAGTCCGGTCTGACAATTCTTCGGCCCTCACCGTGACCCGTAGCTCCTCAGCTCCGTCCAGAAGCTTGGCCCGTTGTGGCCGTGCAGTCGGACCGAACCATATGCCTCGGGGTATCTCCAACTTCACTTCAATCTCCTCAATCAGGGACAACAGCAGTGAAGAACCAATGCACTCGATGATGCAGCTTTTGCCACTCATCAAAGCGACCCCAAAAGAGACACTGACGTCGTAGGTGTACCCCTCTGGTAAGGCAGGACGCATCAGCAAATTCGTTTTGATGTCTGCAATGTCATCGTCGCTATCCATGTCATGCCAGCTGGAGTTGGGCCCCTGGCTGACAGCCGTGGCAGCCTGATTGGCAGCCTAGATGGATGTGGCAGGAGCGAGAAAAGCTGCCGCTTCCTGACCTTCTGTGTTGAAAGCCACGTCAGGCGACTCGCCTGCTGGCTTTGCTGGCTTTTTGCATGCGCTCCACTTCGCCTCCATCTCGAGTGCTGCTGCTGCGTCTGGGGCCCAATGACAAAGCTAAAGCAAGAGCCAGACAGCTTTACTAATTGATGCTCTGCCAAATTTAAAGCTTCCTCTTCAGAGAATGTACCCTATCAGGTTCCCGGCAAGAGCACATATCTAGGTCATCTCAGAGGCAGAAAGGCTTCCGCTTGCAAGAGTATTGATATGCAGCTTTGTTTGGAATTCCTTGTGTAGAAAGACCGTGCACACAAGCCCCCCCCTGTGCCAGCCTGGGGTGCAGGCCAAGTCTGCCATGCGAACCTCAGAGATACCCGGTTTGTTCAAGGACTCGAAAAGGGCACTGTGGCAAGCAAATGAACCATGACAGCTCGCATAATAAAGGGCTTGATCTGAATCTCCTCCCTGTGCTTCTTGGTCCGACTGACACCAAGTGCAGTCATGAGGCCCACTGAGGTGGTGAACCTGCACGACTCTGCTCCAGGCTGCTGCGATAGCCGTAATCATCATAGACCTGTGGCGGGCACGAGGATTCTCCTAAAGGCACAAGATAGATCTCCTTCTTTTGAACGGAGTTTCCAAAATTTCCACTGCTAGAATCTCAAATCATTGAAACTCAAGTCGGCAAATTGAAATGCAGCGGCACAACTGGATTCTGCCGGCCTGTTCCTCTTTTTGCATTGTTAGGAAAATGTCACGATGTAACATTATGGAGAAGGCCGGGAAAACAATATGAACATATAAGAACAAACTTAATATTGAATGAACATCAGAAAAGGTCGCTACAGAAGTTGTGTGAGTTCTCGCTCTGATGCTTCAAAGATTCTGAAATTCTACTTTGACCCGTAGCTTTCAACCTACTCCACCACGTTTATCTATATTTTGAAGAAACTTCTTCAACAACCAACTACGAAACCTTTCCCGAGTTTGGTGGGAAGACCGGGAAGATCATTGCTGCTGTTGTGTGTCAGCAACCTGCCTGAGTGCCGTTCAGGAACACCTTGGACCAGTTGTCAACTTACACTCCCAAGCTGATGAACAGTGCTCCAGCGTGAGCAGAAGAAGAATGCTCACTGCCTCCATGCCGCCGTGTTGCACGATACCTGTCTATGGGTCCACCGTCATCTGTTTCCTTCTGGAGCCACTGCACTCGGATGTGGCCAAGGCTGCCGAACGTAGTGAATGTGTATCCTCAGCTTGAAGACCCTTGTGCTCAGATCATGTGGCCGGACTACGGCGCTTTCAGTACATCTGCCAAGAGGATGCATGAAGACTAAGAGTGTAGTGTTGTTTGCGCCGGAGTACGATTGCAGGAGCTATTTCCCGTCATGGCATTACCATTAGCATGGCAACATTTTTCGAAAGATGGATGATACTGCATGATGAGTGCTGACTGATGAATGATGAAGAACGAACGATGACCAACGACAATGACAAGGAGGTTCTTAGCATGACTGTCACTACCATGCTATGCTGCTGTTTCCGAAGCAAGCTGCCACTTGAGAGTGTGCCATCCAATGCGCCGCCGCTGATGTACCTCTGGTCATCTGTCTTATGCATGGTAAGTTAATCAGGAAACAGGGCATAGACTTTGTTGTGGGGCCCTTTGCAGGAGCTTCTGCACTTATCTATTCCCTCTGACACTTGGCCTACATACACCGGGAGATAAGGGAGCTCATCAAACCATTGACTTAAAACTCAAGATAGGGAATCTCAAATTGAAGTCATGTCGTCAAAGAATGGCAAGCGGCATGAAGAAGACATACTCTGTGTCCATGCTCAACCCACAGCCAGTAAATGTCAGAGTCTCCAGAGCGCCACCTGCACACCATTGCAATGTTGAGGTCTTGTGGGGATGACTTGAGCACCCGAAGCCGACTGATGTAATGAACAGCCTGCCCTGCGTAGACTACATGGCAAACCCGCTGGCGCCTGTTAAGAAGCCTGCAGAGTTTCTGCAGCAGTTTGGGCCACCTTGGTTCTTGCCGTTCTGTTGCGTAAGAACATGCGAGTCATTACCATCTTGTGCACATACAGAAAACTGCTATTGCGCATCTTGCCAGCCAACTACTAGTGCAGTTGCGCCCGATATCCTGTAACTGTGTGACAGGTTAGGGCTGTTTTCATCCACGTCACCCAGGCTCGTCTCACCATTCATCACAGCAGCTCCAGTCAGGTACCTGCCGCGATCCCGAAGATAGAAGCGGCTTTCTCTCAACTGATTGTGTGCAAGTCATGCAGATTTCTTTGAAGCCTGACCGTCCCCGACATGAAATCATTTACCTGTTTTGCTGATCTGCTTCGCATAAAGGAACTTTGGACTGTCTGCGTCTGTGGGTTATGCGGACGAAGCACTTGGCATCTTCAGGAGAAGTAATAGCGCACCATCCAAAGCCTCTGCAACTAGACTCTCAGCAAAACTCAGGTGGACCACGGCTGCTGCAACACATATGAAGCCTGTTTTTGGCTTGCTACATCAAGCTCAAGCTTTGCAGCACTGCTCTGCCAATCTTACGCTTTGGAGTTGTGTTTCTGCTCTAAGTCTTTCCTGCCTACTGACACAAGCAAGAAGTAGAATCAGAATGAGAGGACATGTTCTTGATAACAAGCAGTTTCACACTGTGATCACTACCTTTCGCAAAAAGTGTCATCCGCTTGGTCACGGGCAACGCTAATACAAGCTAATTGTTGGACGTGAGCCTGAGGCCCAGGTCTGGAATTGCACAGTGAATGTCTCAGCCATGGCGGTACCCACAACGGACGGAGAGGCCAGAAAGTAGTTGCCTCAGAGCAAATGGCAAAGAACTGTAGCTGCGATGAAACTTACTCATGTCCCAACTCAAATAGTGTGGGGAGCCTCACTTGTTCGCTAGAAACCCACCCCACGCATGACTTGGGGTTCAACGGCTTTTTCAGTTGAGCAGGGTGAAGGGGCCATTCACTATCAGTCATCAGTTGGTCCCTTGTTGGGAGCGTCGACTGACAAAACATGATCTGCAGAACCAATTCTGCGTTGGGAAGGTAATCAAACTTTGCTTATCTGGATGTCACCATTTGTGTCGGCTGTGGCAACATGTGCTGACTTGACTAGGCATGCTTCTCAGCGGTAGCAGCAAACGTTTTACTGCAATAGTTCTGGTGACCTTGCAGTCTTCAAATACAGCTACAGAAATTCTGTTCTGGGTCGATTCACTGCGTCCAAGTTTCTGGCATTGTAGTACTTGTCAAGCTTCAGTCCGATAATCTCGCCATCGTTATTTCCGGATGAATCCTCCACGTACATCGCAATCCTTGTTGCAATCGAGTTTATTGCTGTGCCCTTGTATTCACGCAATGCAATGACTGGCTGCATTCAAGACGCATGTAATCAGTGCCAGAGACAAATGTGCAGTTGCTGAAGTTCAACCACACAGGCACTGGCATGCCCAGAGTATCCAGTTCGGCCGTCACGTCTATCCCATCGATACTGCAGTTCCTTGAATACTATGGCTTGACAAATCCATGTACACGTAGTGGCAAAGGATGCAGTGAACATGGCCGAGCAGCTCGTTCTGATAGGATGGACCGTTGTCTGGATAGTTTTGCCACCTTGTGTTCAGGCACTACGTCTGCAATAACCCTAAACACGCGATGTGTAGCCGCTGCTGTGGCTGAAGTACTTCCTACACCTCAAGCTCTCTGGGGTGTAGATCACTTGCTTCATCCACGGCCGACCCGTTCGATGCCTACATAAGCGTTTCAGAACTCTACGCTGGCACTTCGAAGTGTGAAGCATGTCAATTCTGAGCCTGCTCTCGATCTCTGGTCCCATCAAGCTTTTTCCGTGCACGTAGCTATCTGGCAGTCTAGAAGAAATGCTTTGCCGCAAACAAGTTCAAGGCTGTGCATGATGTGCTACCACTAGAGGACACTTTATGATTTCGGCGTCGGGTTAAGTTGACTTGTCGAGTTGTCCGATGTTGTCCACTTGGCAGGGGCTGGAGGCACTTGGCACTGTTGGCTGCGGGCTCCCAGCTCCCTCAAACCCAAGCGCTGAGGGACTCTTTGTTGACGGCATGTTCGGGAGATGGTCTACAAGAAAGCCGGGCTAGCAATTTCGGCTTCTTCTATTTCAGCGTCTTCCAGCCACAGGATATGTCGCCTACTCGATGGCAAAGAGGATCTTTCCATTTGAGGCCACATCTTGCAAGGGCACATCTTGATTTTGAGAAACGCCTATTCCATCCTGTTCGTGCCTATTAGAGGTCAATGCACTGTTGAAGCCTGCCTAGACTCTGGACTGCTGAAGGGTTAAACCTCTCAACGCACAAACTGCCTTGAAGTTAAACAAGCAGGTATATTGTACGGCTTTTGGCATTTATCTTTGCATATAGTACATGTCCTTTAGATAGCAGGGGCAAAAGCCTAATGATCGTTTCGCAATGGGGAAGCGACGACCAGGTTGGCATGACTTAAACTGTAGCACAACGTGGAACTATGAATCAAGTTCCAACTTTCAGAAACTGAGTCCATAACTTAAAAGCTAGCTAGCACACCCAGTGCTGAAAGCTTAGAAACGGAGATTGGGAACTGATTCGTTCATGGCTGCCAAGGCGCTGCTTCAGAACTGCGAGCGACATCGCCCCGTCGTAGCGCTCGATGCTTGGGTACAGACTCGAAAACACCTCAGTGCGCGTAAAGATGCCGATGCCAATGTGCATAACCGCGATGTTATGCTACGCGCTGGAGGACCCTGGCCGCCGCTTAGGCTTGGGAAACTCACCTATTGCAAATGAGCCTGATCCGAATCCACCTAACCTCACTACATTTGCAGACTTTCCTTCTTGGATTGTACCGTGGTGCGAACAATGACTGCCGGCTAGGAGCAATTCGGCTCCACAGGCGGCCCGAGTTGTTGACGCGCACGTCGACAGAAAGCGTACCTAAAGTGTTCACAGACGCACGCAAACTTAACAACACGCTGTTACAATTCGCTCACAGCTTTTACTCCAACAGCAGACGTTGCTCAGGCGATGCCAGGTGTATAGCCTAAGTGCGTGGGACACGCTGAGCTTCAACATGCTCAGTCTGTGCGGCCGGAGTGCCATTTGTATCAAACGCCACGATTTGTGGGAAGGGTGGCAGAAAGGTGTTCGAGACGTAGAGGACCTACGCAAGCCAAAAGGATGGCAAATGGCAACTCTTAACTCTTGAAGACAACCAATGTTTCCATAAGGAGATGTTTTGAAGTGCTTAACGCATGCTTCGCTAGCAACATTTCCCTCCCTGATATCTGCTGACACCAAAATCATCCGGCCGTCACTGGTGCGGAGAGGTCGCCAACCTGCGATATGACATGCTGAACCCTACCAACAGCTGACGCGACACGCCGAACCAAGAGAACAAGGTACAGAGTGCACAAAACAAAACAGGTTGCCGACCTGTCCACTGTTGTCCTCCACCTAGGCTTGCACCCATACACATGTACGCAGATCCTGAACTGTTGTCAAATGTCTCTCAACAAGCCCTCCCAACCCGAGCAGGCTCACCCAGAGAAGCCTACCTGACATTCTCGGCGCCACCCCAAGCCCTACCATTGCTTCCAGGCTGCGTAGATGAAAGCTGCATAGAAGGTGATGCCTCACAGATGAGCTTGCAAATGCAACGGCCGGTGAAGGATCGGTTTCATGCATTCTCAGAGCAGTTCGTGTCCTGGTCCCGACGTCACAAGATCGCAATCTGTCAGATGGACAACGGTAGCTCCAGAGCCCATCTCCACCTCAGGTCGACTGAACGAGCCGTTAAAAACGACTGGTACAGAAAGTAGTTTCAATGAACAAGACATGGACACACTTGCGTCCAACTTGGCACAGCACGCACGTCTATCTGCCAACTAGCGGCGCCGTTCTTGCGACAGCCGGCTTGCCCCACTGTGTCTGGGTTGAGATCCATGAACTTGGCAGTCTCCAGCGTGAAGACGTCTGTCCTGACTCATGCTGAATGGTGTATCATACACACCTTTTCCTGAACAAATCAGTCCTGTCTCTTGGCAAGATGAAGGCCCAGTACCGCCCGGGAATGGCTGCTGCAAACGTCAGGTACACATCGCTGGGTGTAGGGTTGGTCGATATCACCTGGAAGGCCCAACAGCATATTATGAATTAGGGAAAAATGACATACATGTCTAACATGTAGCACTCGAGTCTGCGCATGGCTATGCATGGCTTACAGGCACTACATCTGGTGGTAAAAGCAAAACGTCTTGCAACACTCTGTTGCTGTTACATGACTTTTAAGGTGTCACAGGGTGTCAAAGTAGCTATGTGGAAGATCAGCATGTTTGCCAGAGCATGCCAAAGCCCTGAGGCCTTCCATGTCCTTTCCCCTAACTTGAGAGCAAGCTCACACCAAGAGGCTGGTCCGGCAGCGATGCGGTTGGAGACGGCTGGCTTGGGGCTCACATGGATGGGCAGCTGAGCCAATGAGCCATCGCTGAGACCTTGCTAAAGCTGAGTCTGGGCATGACAGCTGATTACCGAAATGTTGTTGCTTCTCCAGAGCACATTCTTCATCCTTCTTCGTGCAAGGGCAGCAGTCACTGTCTAATGTGGCTGTCTCGAGGGCTTACAGCTCTTTACCACGTTTACGTGAAGCGAACGCTAGCGCTGAGATGCCGGCCGTTGACATCTTCAACGTAGACGGCTACAACATACCTTGGATGCAATTGCCATCCACAGCTTCAAGAGATCTGGGCCCTGATTTCAAGAAAAAGGGGTTCCAGGCACCCCACAGGTCGACTCTATCAGGCAAGCGACATGCCGTTTGAGTTTAAGTTGCAGCCGTCGCCAGCGTTCCTCTTCGGGGCAGGATCATCAAAGTGCTGTTGCAGCGTCAAGAAGCATTCAGAAACAGGACTTACTGGCTGCCAGCCAAGACTCGCAAAGGAGGATGACAACACAATCTCCTTGCAATCAAATTCGACATTGAGTTGTATTCCTGCTGTGCCTGTCCACTGCCCGACACCTGCATGGCAGTGCTGATGCTGAGGGCCTCCAGCAGGCTTGGAGCTGCCAATGGCAATGCAGACTTCTCAGAATCATCTTCAACAGACTCGCTGCATGATAATCCGGAGCTCGCCTGCTTCCGACAATTGGATCCCCCTGCCGCGTTGGTGAAGCTTTTCACTCCCTCAACGGTCCTTGCGTGAATTTGGCTTGCTGTCGCTAAGAAACACCAACTTGCGCAGCCAAATGGCAAGGAGTAGGCAAGCCATGCGTCAATGATCATCACCTTAGATAGGGATGCTCATGAGGCCATACATCACGCCAAGAAACTCCTCTGCAGAGAAGCCAGAGGGCTGGCTTCAGGCAAGCCAAGCAGCCCAAGCAAAACCAAACTCTTGCACTGCAGCGAAATTGAAGCGCACGTCATCCTGCATTTGGTACATGGTACATGGATGGCATCACATGTTCTCAGCATCTTCTCATCAGCTCTTTGGGACGACCATGACTTCACGGTAAACAAGAGGTTCTTTTGTCAGCATCTACTGTGATACCTCAGCCACCTTAGCCAAAGCTGCTTTGATCTGATCGCCTTGCTTGAATGACTTTGACGAGCTGGAGCTTGAAAAAAGCTTGGCCTTGTCCGCTTGCTACACTCGGGGTGCAGAAGGGTGGCCTGCAGCGGCGTCGCTGTGAGCCTGGGGCGGCTGGAGAAATCATTGGATACCTCAGGCTTGCAAATGGCAATGGCTGGGTCATGTGTCCACATCACGTCACACGTCTCTCCCGATCAGCTGCAAGTGTCATGATCCTTCCTGAACACAATCTTCATTCTGCGCCCACATCTGCTTAGAAAGCCGCTGACAATCTGAAGCAAGCGGCCGTGGGAATGAAGATCTCCACGGCTGGGCTCAGTGTCCTGTGGTACTCTTGCTACTTTAATTCCAAAAAATTGGCCATGCATGAGAAATGCGCGACCTACATTCGACAAAGAACGTAACCACAATGCCTGCCATCATGGGGGCATAGTCGTATGAGAATGCTTCGGGAGACAACTCTTTAGCATAGCCAAGAATCCCATTCAGACCACCTTCGGGTCCCGCAACATAAGCAAAGGCGTAGTAGTATCTACCTGCCAGTGCCAATGCAATTCCAGAGGTCGCGTCGCCCAGCTGTTGTCTGAATCAAAGCGCCTCGCAACAGACCGCACTCCGAAAGTTGCACGGTGGTCTCCTCACGATTGCTGGAAGCACTCCAACTACATCATCCACAAGAACTCCTAGCAGTCGCGCACACAGGCCATTTGGCGTGCTCAAATACCCTGACCATTTCGAGAACATGTGAAAATACTCCGTGCTGCAATGCCAACAAACACGCATGTTCCGAAACATCATTTCTTGCATTTCTCCGTCTCGTCGATGGGGCTGTCGAGTTTCTGGCAGCCAGGACCACCGATGGCCTAGGAATTGGTTCAGCGAAGCCCTTGCCGAAAGGTCCCTCCCTAGTGCACTCCAAAACGGGTACCAGTCCCCCTTTCTTCATTTCGGGTCCGATGACTGGAAATTTGCAGCTTGAGATTAGCTGCTGTTTTGTGTCGCCACAAGATCCACCAAATCAAAAGTCAGTTTAGTTCGCACCCCCTGAAACCCCTCTGCTGCTCACCTAGCTTTCGGGTTTGCGCAGCAATGCCTCCAGACATGGAATCATTGGGTTCTGACACTGTGGGGCTGATCCCGCTACCTGTCCACCGTGAGGACTGTACTTGTGTCCTGGCCGCCACTTCCACGCTGCCAAAGCATACAGCGGACAGCGCGCAGCGATTACAATTAAGGGCTCCTTGGAGGGTTTCCCCCTCGCGTAACACGAGGGGGGTTGTAACCACGGTTGAAATAAACACTAGAACCACGACCCACTTTTTAGGGGAACCACGCTACAGAAATTAACTATCCCGACACCCGACACGCCCTTTTTTCTGCGAGTCCCCAGGCGACTCTTTCCAGGACGTCAGCTAGGTTTCTGGAAAAAGCCAGTTAATAGAGGGTTCGATGAGTCTGTAGCCTGTATACCCACATATGAGAAGTGACCGCCCCCCCCTTTCTGGCCCCAAGCCAGCACGGCACCCATTTCAGCAGTTTTGCCGACCTTCAGCTAAGCGCCGGCCCCAAGCCATCTGCAAAACTGCTGACCTCTGAAGGCTTTTTTGTCAGCAAAACTGTTGAAACGGTGGCTCCCGGACTGGCTTCGCGCGCCACCTGCAGGTTTTTTGTTGGCAACTGCTAAAATGGTGGCTGCTGGGCTGGCGCCAGGGGCCTCGGGAGCCAATTTTGGAGGAGTTTTGTCGGCAAAACTGCTGAAATGGTGGCTGCTGGTTTTTGTTAGCCTCACATCAAAGCAACTTTGCTTGTTTGGGGGGCGGGAAATTTTCTTGACCTGCTTAGAGCATCCCAGCGCGTAAAAGCAAGCATTCTGATCACATCGAAGCAACGAGCAGCAATGGGAATGTACTTTTGAACATTAAAGCAAGCAATCTGATCACATCAAAGCAATTAGCAGCAATAGGGAATTAAGTGTTCCTATATTCTTGTTGTGGTTCCACCCTCTTCTCCCTCGCGGAACCGTTTCACCGCCATCACCCCGAGAAAACTTACATGCACCAGAACCCTCGAAAAAACCACAATCGATGACAGAGGCCCCAGCGTTCCATCCGTTGGTGACGGACTCTGCAGCGACCTGGTCAACAGAAAAGTGCATGAACTGTCAGTTGCAAGATAAAACTCCTCTAGGATCTCCCCTACTCCTGGACCGGGCTCCTGCCTGCGGCCTGTAGCGGGTGATCATCCTCAGCTATGCTAACACTCAGCTGGCAGTATGCATGATATTGTCCGTCTCAGCCATCTTGCAGGATCTTTGTCAAGAGCTGCTGCTAGGTGACACCCAAAGCCGGCCGCTGGCATGCGCTGCACGAAGTGTCAAGGTGACGCCGCCCGGGGATGCGGGACCCGCCTCCATGCACAATACAGTAGATGACAGCGAAGCCAAGCTTGGAACCCCTTCCCAACATTAGAAAGCATTGTTGTCGGTGCATTCAGACCCTGCCGTCGGAACAGCTCAAAGAGCTGAAGGCCGGCTGCAAGCTACAGCAATGCTGGATATCGCTTGGAAGCAACTTGGCCTGCCGTGGGTCCTCTCGGAACCTGGCCGCCAAAAGCTGGCACATGCGCATTGGTGCAGCGCGGTGCAGCCCTCCAGCCGCTTGGACTTCTAACAAGGATTCGGAACGATGTAGTACTCACGAGAAGGATGCGCAACGCCTGTTGGAAATTCATGTTACTACTGCTAGTGCAGGAAATCTTGCACCACCCTACACGGCCCCAATGCTGCTCGGTATTCTTTGGGGATACTAAGTGGTGCAGCATTTCATCCATCCATGGCCACCACATCCTGAACCGTCTTGAGAGCGCGAAGTCTGACTGCTGCAAGGCGACCAGTTGGAGACAACAGGTACCTCCTCAATGATGAGGACCTGATTGAACCCAAAATACTCTAATGTGAGTGGTTTTGGGCCGCCCAGATCTGCGCATGCTGACAGACTGATGTGCTGTGGAGCTTTTCCAGAAGGTTCCGCTTGCGTCTGCTCATCTTGCTAAAGCCCCCGAACTCTAAATGGCCCTGATCTATTTTTTGCTGCTGCTGTGTTTAGGGAATTGGTTTCCTTCTTAAAGTTGCTTTGGCAGCTCGGAATTGGATCAGGCAGCCTGCGACTAAGGTAAAGCAGGGCTTGGTTTTCGCGCAAACAGACCGACGCCCGAAGCACAACTGTAAATCTCCGTGGAGGGACTCACCTTGATCTCAGTGCCTCATGTAGGAAGCCCGCCTGTCCGCCAGAAACGCCGCCAGCATCGTCCGTGGAAACGTTTGAAGCGTCAAAGAAGGAGGCAATCATGGGACCTGTGCACTTCGGATGCCCATCATGACTAACAATTGAGCTGATATTTAATGTTGGATTACCATAGCGATGACCATCCTCAGCAAGATAGCTCAAGGCCTGAGAGAGTGCCGTCTCCTTCCACTGCAGGCCAGGCTTCGATGTAAATGAAGATCCTCAGCTGCGGTAGATGAGGCTGGCTGATGCTGGCTGGTGGTTGGGCCAAAGGCCTCTGATCCTTCTCTCCCAGTGACATGCTACTGAAAGGGATGTTTCACAGAAATCCTTGTCATTTGTTGAAGAAAAACCGCAGTTGCTCTTGTCACTTTTGACACCCAAGCTTCATGTACGTTTTCATCTCTTGGAACCTGCAATCTGTGAAGTTCCAAACCTGGCCAAACAGCGGGGACCGGCCACACTAGCCACTCGAGGTGCTGCACGGAACACAAGGATGAGGCCTGAAGGCTGGCGTCGATGGGGAAATCTTGAAACTGGCAGTCTGGCCCCCCCAAGGCTCCTGCGGAGGAGGGTTTTGCATGGACAGCCCTCGACTGCGACCGGCAGTCCTTCCAGGCTTCGAATCGACAAGGATGTGACGCCTGATATCAGCAGGTGATGCTGCAGTGTATCTTCGGATTGGATCTTATCCAAGCAGTGTGCAGTTTAGTGCCTGAAATGTGCTCAGATTACTAAATCTCACGACTAGAATGGCAGAATGGCCCAATGTGTAGAGCCTGAGCCGCCGATGGCATCCACAGCCATAGCCCATGCGCGGCCTGAGACCATGGCCTTGGAGCTGTTTTCAAGTTGCAATACGTTGCCATGGTTGCAGATCTTCATAGGAGCAGGAATCATCGCACTCATTGTTCACCATGTTCACCAGCTCGTCATCATGACACAATCAGTCTCCCTTCTTGAGCTGGCTGAATAGCTTGTTCTCAAACCGCCCTCCACGTGAGTTCAAAAAAGCAGGTCAGGGCTTACCTGTAGTTGAATCCTGCAAAGCAGCTACCATCAGCAAATCCTCCATTCTCTTTCAAGGCACGCGGAATCTGACGTCAAAGCCGTCCAGTGTGGGTAAAGTCAGCAGGACAGGGCTGACAGCGAAGTTGTTTGACCTGATGACCTGCAGCTTCTTCTGAAAACCAAACAAATCGAAAGGCATCTTGCTGCCTCATAAGACAGGAAAGTGCACAGCGCTAGATCTTGCACATGCGCAATGTGCGCCCTTCCAGGCCTTCACGAAAACGATTCTTGACAGGGTGCCGTCGCCGCGGTCTCGGTGGTCTTCTACCTTGGTTTCACTGGCAGTTGTCCGCTTCAACACCTACTGGGTCTTGGCTGTAGTGGTGGTTTCTATTTCGATCTATTTCGGTTGCTTCTGCACCGTGTGCCGAGGAGCATAGGCATACAGAGCGTAGATCTGTCCTGGCCGCTTTCAGACTGGATTAATGAAATTGTTGGTGGGTCATGTGCCTAGCATGTGATGCAAACATATGCAAAATCCTCCATGTTGCCACATCATGTGCAGATTTGTGCGCGCAAAGTTATCTTGAATATGATGCACCTGCTGACTGGTTTCTCTTTGGGTCTGTGTCCTGGATCCAGCACGCAGCCAGTCAGGGTGTACGTCTGCTCGACAGGTGTTATCGGCGCACCCGTCACTCTGCATGTAAGCCTCATGGCTTGGCTTTGGCTCAAACACAGCAGAGGTTGACGAAGTATCTGTCGTGCCCAGACCAATCACACGTGCCTCGTTCATGCAGCTACAGCCAAGGCACGCGCCGACAGCTCCAACGTTGGCCTTCATATGAGACCTAACGTTGTCTGTGCAACATTTTCAAGATGCGAAGGCATGGGGTACGTGCAGTATATCCTGGATGGTAGCCGGGACAACATGCCACAAAATTTGCCCAGCTTGTTTGAGGCACCTGGTTGGTGGCGCCACCAGGGATGCTGCAGGCGTTACCACCACCCAAGCGCGGCCGCGCTTCCTGAGCTGTTCGACATTCTTCTGACTGAAGGTCACCACCAACGCGTACAACAGCTGCTTTGCCAAGCTTCCTCGGTGTGAACCTGAAGTCCACCTGGTGTCAGGGTGTTTTTGCAGTGTTGCGCATCTACCTGCCCACCCTCAGCGAGCGTATGCTCAAGTCAGGTCTGCGGAGGGGAAAGCCCGAAGCTGCAATCCAGTCAGCTGTCGTGCTGAAACGGGAATGAACCCGATCTAGACTTAAATGCTTTCCAAGCAGGTCAAGGCTCATGCTTTTTGATGAAATGCGCGTCCTTGGTAATTCACACAGCGAAGAGCATTCCTGTCATCCCTCAGCAGGTGGATAGCCTGGTTAGTCGTGGGCACCGAGAGTAGCGCCGGCTCCACTTCAAAGCTGTTGGAAGCCTCAGGTGCATCTTTTGTCAGGAAAGCATGCTGATGCTCGCCTCACGTATGCCCCAGTCCAGGGCCCCAAAAGGTGGAACGCCGGTCAAGAATAGCTTTCAAATACTGCCTGCGCCTGGTACTGTAGCAGGGCAGTCTACGAGATACGCACAGTGCGAACAGCTTCCTATGTTGCCAAGTTGCCCCAACGTCGACAACCAAAGGGGTCGCAAGCGTCCCATCCATGTTTTCATTGCTGTCCTGGGCAACTGGCTTCGCTTATAATTCTTAATGAACATGACGTCATAATTCCCCCTTGATCCAGACAGTGCCCGGGGAAAAATCAGAGGACTGACTGGCATCGTGCCTCGACGTAGACGTAGATCACATAGGAAGACAAGTAAACCAGTGGGCAGTTTGGCATTGTGATCACCTGCGCAAGCAAAACAATGACAGCATCAATTGGTAACGGCCAGGTGCCAGTAAGAACTGATTGAAATTGAAATGTCTACATATGCCCCACATGCCGCATAAGGGATCGCTTTGGGATTTTTTGCACTCATTCCTATACCTATAGCTCCTCCAACGGAGAACCCCCCCTTGCATTGTTTGTAATCCTCAAAAACAACTTCGGGCCCCCATAGTGGAAAATCTAATGGAACATGAAATAGAAACTAGCTTTTATCCCGCAATGGGAACCCCCCCACACAAAGCCCGTATCCACCGCGCCTGCAAGGAGGGCGGGATGGCAAGACCGGCCGCCATGCCTTGGATTGCTGCATTTAAGAACAGTGGGATTTCGGACTTTTAGGATTAAGGCTTAGGGTTTGGGGTTTAGTTTTTTGAGGCTACTTGGATCAAACTGAAGGTTGAGGGTTTGGGGAATGCGTTGAAATTTTGTTTGATATGGGCCATTTACAGTGTATGTAAATCATGCAAGCAAAATGTTCATACACAAGGCTTGCTATTGAATTGCAACATCATTGAAACCTGCTGGGGAGGGATGGTGATCGGCTCCGGTACAGATAGTTGTGCAGGAGTTTAGAGGGACAAACACACAACCAAGAGGAAGTATCCCCGCTTAAAGCTGCCTGCACAGCAAGCCAGTTGCAGTTTGTTCTGTCGAAGGCGTTCAGCGCGTCCTTGACGTTGGGGATTGTTACCTCAAGGTGTGCCCAAGCGTCAGGGTGTCTACAGCGGCATTGACTGGAAGTGAGTCCGAGGAATGGGCCGTCACATTCTGGCTATATCTGAAAATCAGGATGTCCGGACATATAATATGCTCAAAGAGTCCCGAGTATAGTTGCTGGCCCCTGTTCTTGAGAAACTTTCACAGTCAAGGTACTGACACGGCAGCGGCCTGTTCTGCAGTTGCAATGTACACCCAAACTTTGCCAGCCGAGGATGCCTAGCGGGACTGCGTAGGGCTGTCATTAGGGCACACCCACCACGCTTCTGACTTAAGTTTTTCGAACATTGCAGATCTGACTACGACTTCAGACAGTGTCGGTAACTTCCTAATCTGTTTATGTGGGATTTCATGCAGTCCGCCGATGTGAGTGGTTTTCAATCAGCACTGGTCCGCCTCAAAGCTCAGGCTTACGCCGGTGTCCAGTCCCGGCTCTCCAACCTCTGCTGAGCGACTCTTGTTTGGAGGTAGGACCAAAGATTTCCCACTTCAATGGTCATCCTCATCACCTAGAACTTTCTTTCTGCAAGGCAGGTCTTGACAAGCCAGCTCAACTTCTGCGAAGCGACCAACGCCGGTGGAATCACGAAACTGTTTGACACAGGCACCTTTGGGTCAGGACCACTGGCACTCATTATCAACTATCACTCATTTCGTCATCGTTAGATACTGTCATGTATGGCTACTCCATGCTCGTCTGCTCTGTGGTCAGCATTCTGTGACTTCCTGTCTGGCCTCGAAGTAGATGGGGTCCGACAGTGTGCCATCATTCTGGACAGCTTGATCTTCAGTGTACAGAATGAGGACATACCTCGAAGGGAAGCTATCCCAACCCATCCTGTCAAGAAATCGTACTAGCCCAGAGTATGGCACCACCATGCGCCACCACGTATTTACTCGGAAGGCAGTTGACTCATGCTGTCTTTTGCCTTCTGCTTGCTAACCAGGAAGCTGTTTTGGAGCTGGCAGCAGGCTGCACCCGAAGAGGGTCAGTGTGTACGTGCCCTGCAGGCTTGCTTTGCTGATCAACTCCTAGTGCCATCAAAGCCATATGCCACAGAAGCTGGCTTGCACATTGTTCGTCTGCCCAGGCGCGGCTGAAAGCGCAGGGACGCCCATCTGCCGACAGCCAGCAGGGCCCCACGCCTCGCGCAAGCCCCATTAAAGAACATGCTGAAGCACCATTCGCTATGTACAGTAGAAAATGTCTTGAGCAATCAGTTCTGTTAAGCCATTCCTTGCATTCGTTGGCATGCTGCAACATGCCTCCTGCTCAGAAACATGGAGAACATCATTCCCAGTCTCGAACGTCTCGACAAGACATGCCAAGCCACGAGCTGCGCCGTCTTCACGGCATTGATGGTGAAGTTGGTGCCTCAGAGATACGAGAAACTTAGCATCTGAGTAATGCAGCGCAACGTAGCTCAAAGCGCGTCTTTGTGGGCATCCACTTCAAAAGGGGCTACTTCTTGAAATGCAAGCCGCTTTGCCTTGCCCAGCTTGTGAAGACCAGGTGCTTGCAGCATCTTGGACAACTGCCCATACCAACGATTGCGGGTTGGCGGTTGTGAATGTGACCTGGCCAATGCTCTAATACCAGCTCTGGCAGTTGCTAAGTCATGTCTTCCAAAGGACTTCTTTGCAGTCTTTTCCTTTGGCAGCTGGCTGCTCAGTGGTGGCTGGGCGACAGGGAGACGGCGTCGCTTCATGAGCGAATCTGCTACTTCCCTATCGACCCAAACATTCGCCAGGGGGCATCCAAGCCCATTCCATGTGGACCTTTGGAGATGTAGGGTGCACCTCACGCACGAAAATGCGCATCGACACTGCAAAGTGCAAATCTGAAAAGCTAAGCTGGACACCATCCGGCCACGCCCAGGTGTTGGAGAAAGGCGGAACCACAAGCAGACCTCAGAGGCATCTTTTTGGGCTTACCTGCATTGCTGCGGGGGTCGTGAAGTAGAAGGGTGCGAGGACACAGCCACTCTGAGAATCTTCTGGCCGGCTATGCAGGCACTGTATCTTGGAAGCTGCCCCAGACACCAATCATTTTTGCAGACTGGTAGAGCACAATCTGAGTTCAGCCTTGGAAGAGTCCTTCCTGACCCAAAGAACGACAGCGCAGGTTTGTGTTGTACACTGCTTGCAGTTCACCCATGCATGTTTATTTATCGTTTTGTAGGCTTTGCAGCCTTGCAGCCATTGCAGGGTTTGGATGACCGGTCCATGGGGCTGTGGTCGGTTGGATGCATCAATAAACCAACGTCAGCACATAAGTAATTACACGGTAACTTCAAGCACGCCCGACGCCGCCTGCGAAGTCTTCCTGCACAGTATAAGGTTTTGGGGCTGAGAAGATCACCCTCCAGTCCAGATCATCGCAAAAACAACTAGTTGTTCAGCAGCATGGCCATGAAGCTGAGCGCAAGGACATAGGAAAGGCACTACAAAGGAACATGGCCAGTCCTGAAGCTGGAGCACGATGCCCCCTATCCCTTCAGTTGCACTGTAAGAAACTTGGGAAAGCCGCTGGGGATGCCGTTGTCATGGAACCTGGGACAGCTCGACTACGCCTGAAGCCGACCTACCAAGACCTCAGCAGGGCCACCCTCCAACCAAAAACCTGAAAGGAGCCCGTAGCCCTGAACTCCATAGCGACTTGGTTGGAGACTTTTAGGAAGACATTCTTCAGAATTTGATCAAACCAAAATCGGCTTTCTGCAAAGAAGCTAATGCGTGAAGAATTGCAAGACCCGAAAAGCTAAACCTGGAGCCATTCAGGCTGAGTTTCCGTTGGACACTCGCCCATTGTCTCGGTGCCATTGGTTCCAGAATGGTGACCGGAATACCTGCTTTTGTGGATGGCCCTTCGGCTGCGAATCCCCGAGTCGACACAGACACAGTTGTAGCATCAATACTTCCACAGTCATCTTGCATGCTGTCTAGCGTCACCATGCCAGTAGCAGGAGCAGCAGCAACAGCAGCACTGCCAAGCTACTAGTGTTCATCTGCCAGAAGGCGACATTTCAACACATCGTATGTGACTTGGACGTCTGTGACGGCTCTGCAACTGAGATGCAGCATCCGGATCCACGGCCACATCCCAGTAATCCTGGAAGGAAAGTAACAAGGGTAACTCTACCTCCAAGCAAGTTTTCTATGCGCTCAAACTCCCCCCTTGTCATCAAACTGCATAGTTGAAATGCCTCTATGTTGACAATCCAAGTCGTGTCATCTGTATAGCCTAGCGAAGTCTCATCTCCCAGGCTCCTCGCCGATGACATACACAAACAAGCGGTAGCGGACCTTGAATGCAGATTAGGATGCCAGACTTTCATAGTCTTGCAGCGGCTCTCACAACTTTACTTCATGCCGCGTAACGCCCGGCGTCAGGCCACAGTTCAGGAATTCCCAGGTGTAGCCTTCAAACAAGCTCATGTCAATCTCCCCTCGATTCATTGACAGTAGCAGCTCTGAATTTGGAGCTGCGACCAATAGTCCAATTCATGATTTCTGGCAGCTTGAGACTCAAGGTTGGCTTGGCGCTTTCCTAGACCTCTCCGCATCTGTCCTAAATCTACACCGTGAACAGCAACGGGTGTGAGATCAGCTGCCACCTTTGTCAAGTGCGTCAACATGACTTCAAACATAGCAGGCCTGTACTGCCCGTGATGGGAATGGCCTGGTAGTAGCAGAATAGATTCGACCCCACCATGTCAACATTGAACATGATGTCCTGAAGCACAGCATGGCCAAAAAGAGCCGGCAAAAAAAATAGTCCCTGACGGGCAAAACCTGGCCATTGCGGCACCCTTTTAAGTTGCTTAGACCCGTTCAGAAACCAGTTTTGCCGAATGTGCTCAAGCTTGTGGGCAGCCTCTGCCATTTCGGCTCACATTTTCTCACTGCTGATCAAAGCTTTTCTCATCGAGGGTCGTAAATCTCGATGCTCTGCCTGTCAGCGTGGTTGCCGTTGGAGTGATTGACCTTGTCAAACAGCTGTAGGCAAAACTATGCGGTTTCTCGCGTTTTGTCAGGGATAGTCCATCAGGAGAAGCTCGGGTGTTTACTGGGACCCGCGTTTGCCAGGAAGACTCGGCGATCAAGCCGGCCCATGCGTAGCCCGTCCTTCACATGGAAGCAGCTTTTCTTGGTTGGTCAGCACTGAGGTCCATAAAGCATCACTTCCACGGTCCCTGCCAGCATGCTGTGTAGGCTTAGATCAGGACGCAAAGGCTTTCTTTCCAAGCCCTGAATGAGCTGTGAGAAAAAGTGTTGCTAGGTCAAATGAAGGATGTTTTCAGGTGGTTCAACTAAGTAAGACCATGTTTTCTTAACAAGTACTATACTCAAAACGAGGCTATGATCCTACTTCCTGTGTGCGCAAAGCAACTCCCTTAAACACACCATCCAAATTGTCCTTCTGGGCTGGAAGTAGATCTTTGCACCGCGTATAGTAGCAGGCTCCACAAGATACGGCCGCGTCAAGAAGTCGTTGGTCACTTCTGCGGAGCCTTCACGCATGTACAAGCTTCCTAGAGCCATGGTCCTTACCTTGAGCAGTAGTCAAGCCAAGTAGACTAGGATGAGTCCTTCTGTTAAAGGGCTGGAAGGTCCATGAAGCACATGAGGCACAAGGCTGCCTGGCACGATGATGCCCATGGTTTCCATAATTCCGTCGTCTTGGCCTTGAGTGTCCTGTCAAGCTCAGGCAAGGCCAGGGCAAAGTCAAAGAACGGAATGCCTTCCAAGGGCATGCGCGCTGGTAGCATGTGCACCCTCGCAGGCGTCCTCCAGATACACAAAAACTTTGTAGGTGGCTGGGCCTCTTTCGAAGTAGCAGAAGAGGAATTCCTGCAGGGTCTTCGGATTTCGCCCCGTCGCTTTACATCATCTCTGATCATAAGTACTTCCTTAGCACGGCAACTTTGATTCCACAGCAGGTGTGACCCATAGTCCTTAATTATGGTCCCCTAGTTTCCATTTTCTTTTCCACTATCCCCATATAACCCCAACATGATCCGAAAATTACCCCAAATGGGCACCAGTTCCGGTAGACGCCTCGGTGTTTGGAAGACCTCCTGTGACAAACTTTCCTGCTCTGCGGCAATCCGCCGCTGGCTGCCCATACTGCCTGCAAGTCCCATCAACTTACTGGTTCTGAGTAGGGAAGATGGGAGTATATTATAATAGGGAATATAGGACCATATAGTAGAGAATATGGGGAAATGTTTTCTAAGGAATAAAAGGGGATTTTCCCTTGTTCCTTACTAAGACCCAGTAAGTCAATCCAGCTTCGCAACCCGTTTCAGCCACATCTTGCAACTGCAATCAAAGCCAACAGACTCTGTTCAAGTCAATCTGCCGCGCATCAAGTTGTTTGACTGCGTTTGCAGTCCGGACTCCTCCAAGTTGCATAAACTGGATTGCTGTTGAAGAATTCAACTTAAGTTACCACATTATGGGTACATAGTACATGACAAGGCTTCCTTTTTATAGTAACTGAACTTAAATTCCTTAGCAATAACCCAGTAAAGCTGCCAAACGATCCAGCAATGGATGAACTCCGAAGATGACCCCCAAATGCTGAGAAAGCTGCATGCTTTTGATGCTCCAGACAGTGACAAGGCCTGAGCGAATGAAATCTGGAACCAACACATGGCTAAGGTTTGCACAAAGTCTGCCACTGGTGATGTGGCTGTGTATTACGGACATGGCAGCTCAGTGAACCACTTTCGTCATTCTTGTCGGCCACAACTGCCCAGAAGTTGCCGCTGACTTCCTGGGATGTTCTGCAGTCTGATCGTTGATGAACAGTTGCATTCAAGGAGATTTCGAATTGCTCGCATTGGGATTTTGATGGACTTCCTCCGAAGCTTGCCACTGAGAATTGCCAGAAGTACCAGCACAGCAGAACTGATTTTGCAGCCAAGCATCTGGAGTGAAGGTGAAGTAGAACACGTTCGTTGTCATGGTTTGATCGATTCGAGGCCTTGTAGGTGAAAGGTTGCAGTCAACAGTCTGCTGCACGTAGAGTTATCACCCGGCTTTTGCGAAATCGGTTTCATGTGGCTTCTTTCGTGCAAGAAGCACCAAGTCCAGGAGAATGTCAAACTATCTCAAGCAGTCGATAACGATGATAATGCTAGATACAAGCAACAAGCAAATCGCCACTCGCTTGGCAAATCTCAGCTATGCATAGCAAGGCTTTCTAGCAAGGCCTTGCGTCGACTCCCTGCACAGAAGCTGAGACTTTGGCTTCAAGGTGAAGTGATTAGAAGCGTTGTACCACACCAGGACTGGACCTTGCCACAGCTGCCACATCATGTGAAGTGCATGCGCACAGCCTGTCAAAAGATTTTGTACATGCTGAGATGCTGTCTTGCTGCTCTCCCTCTTCGCAACAGGAGTGCTAGGTGCGAAGATTAGCTAGTGACTAGTGGAGATGGAGATTGTCAGCTACGTCCAGCCATTATCGTTTACTACACACATGCATCTGGCCTGCCCAAGTCAGCATATAGTCAACTAATAATATCCCAGTCCACGTTTGCATGAGCGCTGGAGGCTTTGAGGCTTGGAGGCTCTCGCAGACGTTGCCCATCCCACCTTGCAAGCTCCCATCCGTGTCCTCGGCCAGCACCGGGCCTGGCACAGGTTGAAAACGTCTTCATGCAGACTTCCCACTGCGCAGGCAGCAAGTCATAAGAGGGGCACGACAGCAGAAGTAACTCCTTGTCGCAGACTTATGGAGTCCCGAGCTCCAAGGCTGAGAATCAACACGTCACCTATCCTGAAAAAGTGAAACGAGCCCAGCTCTGGCTACATGCTCTTCCACGGTCAGTATGCTGTACTTTAGAACTGTAAAGAGATTCTGCATGAGCCATCTGTTCGCTGCTAATCCCCCCAGCGATTGGCTGTTTCCCACAATTGAAAGAGTGGCTGGTCTGCAACCGACGCCGTTGGGGAAACTCGCCAATGCCGAAACGTTGAGGCTTAGCAACTTTTCACGGCATGCATTCATGGGGCGCTTGGATAACCTCCTAGCTTTTCATCAAGATAAGCGCTGCTGGCTCGCAACACAAAGTCCTGATCGCCACTGGGGCTCTTGGCTGTGCGAGCCTTGCCCAGCGCATGGACTTCAAAGCCTATCTCCTCCAGGCCAGCGTGATCCAGCATATTGCGCCCATCGAACAAGAAGGCTGGCTTCATCATCTTCTTGTAGAATGCTTCATAATCGTATTTCTTGAACTCGTCCCACTCTGTGAGAACAACAATGGCATGAGCACCATCGCAAGCCTCCTCTGGGCTTGACGTGAAGATGAACTGGCTATTGTTCACCTCGACGTCATGGTACTTGAACTCCTGGAGGGCATCTGCAATTTCGACTTTCGGGTCGTACACGTGCACAATGGCGCCATCCTTCATGAGCATGTCGCACACTGTAAGTGCTGGGGTCTCGCGCACATCTCCTGTATCCTTCTTGAACGCGAAGCCAAATACTGCGATCTTCTTTTTTGTCACAGTGTTGAACAAAGCTGAAATGATCTTGCTCGTGAAAGCAATCTTCTGGTGGTCGTTCATGTCCACGACCTGCTGCCAGTACGCTGCAACTTCATCAAGTCCGAACTGCTGGCAAATGTAAACTAAGTTCAAGATGTCTTTCTGGAAGCATGACCCGCCAAAGCCCACGGAAGCGTTCAGGAACTTGGGGCCAATTCGTGAATCCGTCCCAATGGCTCTGGACACTTCTTTGACATCGGCACCTGTTCGCTCACAGAGTCTGGAAATGGAGTTGATGCTGCTCACGCGCTGCGCAAGCATGGCATTAGCCACTAGCCTCAGTGTCTGGATGTAGGAGGGGTAATGCAGCGTCATAAACAAGGTCTACAGCAAACAAATGTGGCAGTGATAGATCAATCTTTCATACCTAGTGACTTCGAGAGTTCTGAGCTCCAAAGGTTGGTCGTCAAAATCCGATCTCTTGGCACCCAGTGAGCGTAGATGTCAGCTAAGACTTGAATGGCTGCCTGCTCTTGACCACCTATCAAAACTCTGTCGGGTTCATCCAGGTCCTTCATGGCTGTGCCTTCTGCCAGGAACTCAGGGTTGGACAGGATCCAAAAGTTCTTGTTGCCTCCATTAGCTTGCTCATTGGCCATCAGTACCCGAGCTATGGCTTCTGCGGTCTTGATGGGGACCGTAGACTTTTCAATGACAATCTTGCTCCTGTTTGCATACTGTGCGATGGTTCGCCCAACGCTCTCAATGAACCTCAGGTCAGCGGCCCTGCCCTTGCCCACGCCTTGTGTCTTTGTAGGCGTGTTGACTGAGGCAAAGATGATATCGGCATCCTCGATGCCCTTCTTCACATCAGTGGAGAAGAAGAGGTTCTTGCCGCGGCATGCCTTCACCACGTCATCAAGCCCAGGCTCGTAGATGGGCAGGTTGTCGGAATTCCACGCAGCAATTCGGTCCTGGTTCATGTCAACGATGTTCACCTGAAGATCAGGACACTTCAAAGCAATGGTTGCCATGGTGGGGCCACCCACATACCCAGCACCGATGCAGCAAATCCTGTTCAGGCGAACACCCAACTTCGGATCCTCTGCTGCCATGTCTGCGCGCCGTTCTGGCTCTACTGTCCTAGGTTTCTACGTTATGGAGCCAAAAGCTTAAGGAGCCAGCCTTCTTCCCTTCCGCGGGAGGGTGTCACATAAGTGTCACCAGCTGCAAGGCATGTCTGCAACAACCTCAGCACCCTCTTTGTCTGTTAGCCGAGCCTTCAACGTAAAAGAAGGCATAGTATGAATATGTCGCCAGCAGCTGGCATTGCTCAACCTCAGCTCAACATAGCTGCTGCCTCGTTGAAATGAGCCATTCATGTCTGATGCTAGCCAAGTCGCCCTGTGCAACCTCGGCTGGCACATGTTGCTGTTGCGAGCTCTTTGACTATGACATCAGGGCTATTGTGGCTGGCGGCTCTGCGCTGTTGTTCACCGAGATCTGGGACAGACTGCACATGACCTCGCCAGATGGTACCTCAATCAGCAAGACTTCCTACCTCTGCTTCAAGCAGCAGTCGGACTTGTGACTGTGGATTTCTAGTGCTTTGTCCGATGCGGAAGCTCAGAGGATATACCAGTAGTACGCACTGAGAATCTGGCCGCCATACGGGCAAGACTAGCATAGATTAGTCACATTGGCAGCTGCTGTTTATAGCTTTGGTTTCACCGGCATCGGGTCTGCCAGAGTCAGGGAGAAGTAGATTGGCAACTCTGCCTTCATGCGCAAACAAAAAACAGATTCCTGTCATCCCAGCGCTTTCTTCTCAGAGCCTTGACCTCATTCAAAAAATTGCCGAATGCGGTGAATGGCACGATTCCAGACTTGACACCTGCCATGTCGACCTTTGCAGTGTGGTTCTCATGCACGATGATGATCCACAAATATCCTTCGCGTACCTTGCTGTCCACTCAGGGCAACTGTTCAGGGCAAGGCTTCTGGCTCAGTGTCTTTGCAGTGAATGGCTGCCGGACACTGGAGGCGTACAGGAGCTCTTCTCTACTTTTTGCGCTGCTTCAATTGTCTGTCGTAGACGGATCTTGCAGCCAGAATGCTGTTGTAACCTCGAACTCAGCAAAGTACGGCCGAACCTGAATGATTACAGGCGGCACGCTTACCAGATGCTTCCTCTCAAACAGCTGCCAACATCTGCCAACAATGGTTTCACCATACTGCATGTGGGCTGTGCACGGCATCAAATCTTAGCTGTCGGCCTGGACAGCCACAGGTGCGAATGGGAAGTCGTTGGAGCCTCATGGACTGCCCACTCGTTCTGCCAGCTTATGCAGATTTCTGCTCAGCCCAGTAACGAGGCACGAATACTTCGACTGGAGCGGAGATGGCCCCTGACTTGGTCTTCTCCAAGCCTTTCATGTGATCATGCAATGCTGTTTGTTGTTGAAACTACGTTGGCATGTCGAACTGTTTCTGAACAGATCTAACTACCCTTGCCAACGTCTTGCCGCACCTTCGATGTAGACCAGCGCCCAATACGTGGTGCTGAAGTTCAAGCCACAATCCGTGAGGGTCATGTTGGTGAAGTTTCCAGAGGAGAGAACTGGCACCCCCGCGGGGGCACAGGATTCGTTGTTTGCCGGGTAGTACCTTGTAAGCACAGGCAGCTCAGAAAGTGCTGTCTCACGCATGGCCGAAGCTCGCATCCCCATTTCGCGGCTAGTAACCTACTGAGATGCAAACCGATCCAAAAACGATGGAGCATCCAGGTAGTACGCAAGGGCCTAGCAGCATAGCTTTTTCCAGTTGTTTGTACCTAGCCTACCCAAGTAGACAGTACGAAGCAGATCACTCAAAAACCCATGCGGCATCAAGGTGCGATTGGCAACTCCAAGCCGTTCAAGAATCCGCTCTGGAGAGCATGCTTAATGTTGGCCAAGGACGTCCTTCCCCTTCCGTCCTAGGCCTCAGAGTAGTGGTTGAAGAGGGCCGCCCAGGCAAAGCCTTCCCTGTTGGCCATGAGGCTTAATCGTACCTGGCAACAAGTGAGAGATTGTTAATTATCCTGTTCGAAGACCACTTCAAAGACTTGCAGGGACCACCCCATCCAACGTGGCAGAGTTCTCAACAGGTCTAGGTGAGTCTTCGAAGTTGTTCGTGTCCAGGACCTCAGACTGCACTCAGGCACATAGGATCCTCTGCCAGCACGGAGCGAACGAATAGATCCTGCGTGCAAGCCAAGTTGCATAGAACATGATGGGCCCAGCCATGATGCCGTCATTGTTGCCATTGTAATCCTGCCGCTTCAAGAGTCAAGGCATCTTGCTTCATATGCCTCACAGCTTCTCACATGTATTGCACGTCTGCATTTGGCGCGGCCTACACCAATCCAGTTGAGCTGACACCTCTTTCTACCATGTGACCGCTGAGGGTCGAGACAACGCTGCCTACGACTGTTGCAAAACAGGAGGTGTGACCTCAATGTACACGTACAGGCTGTAGAGTCTGTCTTGGCTCAGCTGGCAGTTCGTAAGGACCAGCTCCTGTGTCATCAGCTCTCATGCTCCAGAGACAAAGATTACCTACGGTTGCCACCAGCCTAAGCCCTAAACGGAAGGTCAACAATGTCCATCCAAATGGGAACCGCCCTTGCTATTGAAAAGGTCCTCTCTGATCCACCCAACTACCGAGCTCTTTTCCAACCCCAGTTTGGGAAACTCTGCCCCGCTTACCTCCCGCAAAAGTGCTTAAGAAGCACCATGTGTAACCTTTCTCATCCACACATTAGGTCAGCTTACGTTTCTCAATAGATTCATAGTGGACATGGGAATTCGTCAGGAACAGTATCTTGCGATACGGAACCTCTGTCCTTCCTAAACATTACATGGCGACACTCATATTGACAGTGGCTCACATGACCCAGACCTTGGATCTTAGACCCAAAACTCACAACCAAAAATCCGGAACCCTAGACCCCTAACCTGTATTCTCACGTTCTGGGGGGAGGAAGCTCTGCCTGCAACGAAGCCGTCAGCGACTGCGATAGGTACTGACACTCCGGGAGACCCATGGCTCCGCTCCCGAACTTGATGTCCTGTGGCGCGGGCAGCGTGGAGGTTGGTGTGGAACTTTGAGTCAAAGATAAAACTGGTTGAGTTGACGTCAAAGAGCTAAGGTAGAACCCAGCAGGCGCAAGTGGGGCGTTATGCAAAGTACTCATACTCGCGCAATTGTGACCAGGGTTCTCCCTGACTATGCGGCGACCTGTGGGTCGTATTGCATGATGCGGGGAAACGGGAACCCCCTCCTCCCCCTACCGCCGCAAACATCTGAAAGAGCAAGCTGAGCCGAAGGGGGCCAGGTTCTTCAAACCAGGCCCCAGGAATGTGGGGACCTGGTATCCAGGCCCTGCACAAGCTGTTCGGGGTTGAGGTTTACTCGCGCTGCTGCACCTGCATGACGTCATTGGTGCACGCACGGCTTGCTTAAAATCGAGGCCATGCTGCCACCAGCTGACTGCGGAAAATCCAGGCAGCATGGCAGCACTCTGTAGCAACGGTTGCATGTGTGATTGCTTCGCCTGTGGCCATGGTCCTAGATTTCATCGTTGCCAATTCGACGATGACGAGTTTGAGGGGCTCCCCCCTCGATCACGAGACTGCATCACCGCCCATTGGTGCTAGGCTGCATTCACGTGAATTCTTCCTGGCCATTGCTGGGGGTCCGGATGCCCACTGATCGGCAATGGTCATGGTCAAAACGTGTCAAAACTCGAACCCTTGGCCCGCGCTGCTTACGCGCCGGTGAGGCTTCATTCATAGGTCGTATGAGTGCTTCACCGAGATGTTGTGACAGCGTTGTTTTCTTCGAAGCTTTGACATGGGTTTGTATGGCGTTTATGAAGCTTTTCATGTGCCTTTGTGGAATTTTACGTGCATTCTTTTATGTAGGTGTGTTGTTGAAGCGCTGCACCCCATGATTCTGATGATGCTGCCCTCCTGCAAGGTTTTCAAATCTTGGAAAGATGCCCGACCCCTCTCTAGAGATTTCTGTGGTAAACAAGTAGCGCCAGTTGTGCTGACGGGTGGCTGTCCCGCGTGCACGCAGAGGGGGGTTGGATGTCGGGGGGATGAAGAGCTTGGTGTTTTTTGGTATCTTTTACTACAGGCTCTTCTACAACCCCTATGGTAGAGCTGGCCCGGCCCGTGTGGCCAGGCCTACGATTTCCATTCAACGATGTACATATGCAAAGGCTGCGCGGCAACGCCAGTCCTCGACAGACATGGCCGCATTGCCCTCGCGAAGAAGGCACCAAAAGCGCCCAATGAAAGATGAGGTCATCCTTCAGCAACCAGACCCAGGCTCACCCGCGCAGACGTCTTGATTTCTAGAATTTCTGGCTTGTTGATCTGTGGAAATACATTCACTTCAGGGGCTACGAAGCTGCAATCCATCAGCACTGCTCAGGAACCCTGTTATCTGCCGGGTTTGATTCGGGCCCGTATTCTGAAGCCACCTGTGACGCCAAGGCTCCGGAAGGTGAATCCGAGGCCCGTGATCTCCGAGACAATGGAAGGGTACACCACGAAAATGTTGGACGGTGTCACCTGGAACCTGATCTAAAAGGATTTGAGACCTTCAATTCGGCTGCAACTGAAAGGTCTGACGGGTCCAAAGCTCAACCAGCAGGTGCTCAATTGCATGCGGGTGACGTAACAGTCCCTGCGAAGCTGCCGTCGTTCCTTGCTTGGTGTTTGCTCGGTCTTGCTGGGTCATGTGGCTTGCGGGACATGGACGTGGAGCAACCTCTAGTCAGAAGTGAAAGCTTTCTTTGACCTTGCCTCAAAGTTCCTCCAAAGAACAAAGTCTCAATGTGTCTTGCCAGAGTTGCCCCGCAGAGTTCGTACCCTCGATGTAGGAGTGCAAGGCATACTCCGGGCCGGAGTTGAGCTTGCAGCCGGAGAGTTGGAAAGACTGCCTTGCGGCCATTTGAGCTATAGTCTAAAATCCTAGTATACTCGCCTATACAACCCGCTTTCGGAAGTTTAGACTATAGCTCATTTAGCTAGAGCCAGCACAACACACTTTTAGGTTGACGGGGTTTCCATGGGTTCCAAACTTGCGGGCCTGCGGACAAGGTTTGTAGTTTTTGAGGTATGGGAAATGTACCTACTGGAACCTACATGTAACAATTGTTAACATGCCCTTGAATTCACTCTGCTGTATTTAGTCGCGCCAGTTTTGCCCAGTTGCAGCGTGTCGTCCACTGGTGCCTTGGACCGGCCCCTTCACCCTCATACTTCAGGGATGTCCAGACCTTTCAGTGCCCTCACGATGTTTCAAAAGTGCGATGTCATTGTATCAACTGTGGTAAAAACAAATGACAGCAACGTCGGACTCTTTGGACATGCTGGGCCGGCTCAGGTTGCTGTTCAGCTAAAGCCTCAACCCACAGTTCAAAAGCCAGATTCCCTCGCAGGCCCTTTGCAGAGCAGCTGGGCTGCGGATGAAAAGAATCTGTTTCCACTCCGCAGCGTCCCTGCACCAGCAAACTTGGCACCAAGGCGCCCGAAGCACGCGGCAAGTGTCGGCGCCCACAGCCCCAGCACCAGCCTTTGCCAAAAGAGATGAGTGTGGCCTCGCTTAGATCCAATCTAAACACTAATCTCAACTGTAGCGTATGCCCAGCAGCTTTGATCAGGTCGATGGTGAGCGCAACAGGCCCCACTGTGATCATGAGCCAGAGGTAGCCACTTGACCTTCAGAAAAGCCAACTGACCAACAAACAAAGGCTTTCCTGTGAATTCCGAAGCCTACCCTGCCTCGTCCTCAGCTGCACAGTGATGCCATCCTCAGCGCAAGGCACGATGCCAGCCCAAGCTCAAGGACTGTACCGGTTGTGGTACTGCATCAAGCCTCTTATTACAGTCATGACTGCTGAACACCAAGTAGCACCGCTGGGTGGGCCAGAAATTGTCGGGTACGTGGAGAAGGCATTGCTGGCACTAGTTGCAGTTGAAGAGACCTCAGCTCATAAATGCGGCTGACCCTGTTTCTCCGGGACAGCAAGCATGCACAAAAAGCGGGTGAGAGAGATCAGAGCAAAGCACCCAAACTCGCAAGCAACCTGTTTGTACCCACACAGCTGCGTCACTTAGAGCCCGGAATCGTAGAATATGCAGGAGAGTTGCACCATCAACCGTTCCGTCCAGGTGTGCTCCAATGCCAGATATGTATGCCAGCACCGTGTAACGGCTTCCGACGGTCAGAAGACAGCCTGTCAGACCAAAGAATGTAAACTTCTTGATTGATGATGTGAGCATTCGGAACGACTGCGCTCAAGACACAGGCCCACAACTGCCTGAGAAGACCCACGCTTCCTCTCGGTAGGCGAAGAGCTGCCGAGGTCCGTGCTTGCAGAACCTAAATCGCCAATGGCAATGTTTGAGCACTCAAGCAGCACATGACTTTGAGTCGCATGAAGCAGCCTTGTAGCTTGCAGCAGCATCAGCAATCGGTCTGTTATTCTTGCCACTGAGAAACGGCCCACCCAAGGCACCATCAAGGTTGTAGACGTGCTCCTTCGCTTCATCTCAAACAGGCCGACGCGAACGCCAGAGTATTTTAGAGTATTCCCAACATGGTCTATATGCCATCTGTGCCGAAGGCAGAGATGCAGGATGCATGGCCTTCGTAGCAGAGCGTGCTTGTTCTTCTGTCCTTGGGTACCACGCAAGTCTGCCAAAGCCCTGCCCTCTGCTGCATGACAGGCGTCATCTGAAAAATGTTGAAAGATCCAGAATAGACTTCCAAGACTACATGCAAATATCGACGGGATGTTCTTCATTTTTTTGCCTAGTGCAATAAGATGATAATGGGATAACTTTTTCACATGCCCCAGGCATCCCAGGCACAGGATCATGGCCCAGCCATACCCGGGCCGTCGCGGTGTGAAGGCCAAAGTGACACCACTCTCAGTGAGCGGGCCTCAGAATAAGCTAGACGACAGGGTACCCGCTGGGTGTTTCTGGATTACAAGAGGATGATGGGGTTCTCCTTGGGAATTGTCTTGGGAACCTTCTTGAAAAACTCCCGCAGACCCCCCCCACCAGACCCAAGACGTATCACACAATCTTGCAACCTCGTGGCTGTTCAGCGTGGGAGAGCTGTAGAAGGTGTTTGACAGGCCAGAAATTACCTTGGTGCGTAGGGTGTACCATGTACTTTGCTTGCTGAGGCAAGCTGTCGTCTATGCACTTGGTAAGTGCTTAAATAGCTTTCTGCCCTGCACCCAGGATGCCGTGAATTCAACAGCGCCTGACAGAGTGCCATCGCTGAGCCCCGCGTCAAAGCTGGAGACGCTCTGCACATAGGCCACCTCTCAGGCATGGCACCCAGCAGCTTTCTTCAAAAAAGTAAAGCCTTGCACCTGCGCTCTTGGAACTACAGCCATGGTTGGATCATGACTATTTCAACACCCAATTCAAAGTATGCGATCCCGGTGACATGTCTTGCAGGCTAAATCAAGTCATACCTCCATGTTGTGTCCAGCATTGCCAACGAGGCGCAACACCGTAGGTTCCACCATGCGACAGGAAGCATCCAGTCGGGTCCGATGGGTTGTCATCACCTCTGCTCTCTGAATCCAAATTGTTAATTGCAGTCTTTGCAGCAAGGGGCAAACTTGCAAGACCTCATTCTTTAAATCCCTATATTCCCCCAGTTTCCATTTTATTTTCCATTTGATTCTCCATTATAGGAGCCACTACGGCTCAATGCAGCTTGTTGAGGTTAGGTAGAGAATCGTCCCTTCCTCGCTGTGTTGTTGCTGAGCCGCCAGTTCCCAATTCCTGGACCCTTGCACTCGCAAACGCAAGTAGTACTGGGTAAGTGGTAGGGTTTCCACCTTAGCGCAG